TAGGCTGATTGTTCCTCTCTTCCACAGGCTGTGGCGTCTCTTGTCCTGGTGATAGGGTACTCCAATCCTGTTTCATTCCTATCAGAGCTGCAATATCAAAGACAAAAAGTATGTGGCCATGAAGACTAAAGACATTGGCAAAGCACTTAATCCACTGACCTAAAACTAAATCAGCTTAGGATTCAGTGATATAAGGCTGTAATTAAACTTACAACTTAGACTCCTATTATTATTACTATTGCAGTACTGGCGTTTGAACTCAGAGCTTCATGCTTGCTAGGCAGGCACTCTACCACTTGAGCCACTTTGCTAGTCCTGAGCCCAGGCTTTTAGAAGAGAAAGAGAAATGGCCTCCTCCATGCTGAGGATTCAGCCCATTATCAATACCCCTTCTGGCTGGGCACAGAATCTGTATAACATGGGACACTATCTGTTTTTCTTTTTAGCAGATCCAACCAGCTATGTCACAGGGTCTTTGACTGGGGAATCTCCAAGAACCATGAGGTAGAACAACTTCCAGCTACACACTCTTACATTCTAGGACCTAAGATGACCTTGCAGGGTGCTAGTACGTGGTACCCACAGTCACATCAACACTTTGGAGCATGGTACTGGGGTCATTAAAAGGCACCATAGAGAAAATGTTTTATTATTCTTGGCTTGCCAACCCAAGGTCTAAAAAGCTATCTGGTACATTGTTAGGCCACCATGAGTCACAGGACTGTGGCGGTAGCCACCACCTGATAATCTTGATGGAGAAGGTGAACCAGACAGTCAAGTACTGTGCTTTCCAGAACCCTACCAGGATTACCGAAATCCCTTTATGGCAATTTCGGTTATAAATCCAGGTCTCCTGCTCTGATATTTTAATAGGCTGTGGTCTAAGAAAAGCCAGCTTGTATCCAAGAGAAGATAGCTCAAGATAGTCCTACTGTTTTATATCCTGACTCAGGGAAGCAATTTATTAGTCACCTAATAGGTGTACTTCCACCCCCAATGGATCAGGTATCATGTGCCCTGAGGAAGTTTAAAAGTTAAGCATGAAGCTACACTCTATTAATAATACTACAGTGACTGAGCACTAACAGTTCCCCACTGCCCCCTGTTGAGCCTGAATATTCTTTATCAAGGTCATTAGTGCTCATTTCCCAATCAGTAGTAAAGCCCCATTCTTGAGAATGGTTGTCTTTCCCACCTTCCATTTATAGATGTTTATTTCACTCTGCCTTAAGTCCATGACCCCACCGTTTGTAAGGTGCTCTTGCTCCCATAAACTCATGTACCTCAGCACTCAAATAGTTGAGTGTATTCAACACTGAGTTTGCTGGTAGCAAGGTTATCTCTGCTGCTGATGTTTGAGTTTTAAACCGTACTGGGCTGGGCACTCAGATATTTGCTGAGGAAGTGAATGCAAGTAGGATCTGTGCCCTGTATGCCCTTGCTTTCTCCTTGATTTTAACACCCGTGTAACTAGACTGGTGCCTTCTCCAGTGTCCTCTCACCTGCTGTGCTTCCCATGTTGCTTCTGAACAATTTTTCCACATTGCTTTTTATTCATCTCCTCATTGCAAAGGATTTGAGGTAAAAATAATCATTTTGCTGAAGGCCCAGAGAGGTCAAGTCAGGTGCTCAAGGTTATTCAGCAGATCCACTCCATAGCTTCATCCATTAGGTTGGTTACCCACTCATTTTATTTCTGGTCACTACACTGTACACTCTCCCCAGGTTCTTTGATTATCATCCTTACTAACTTTAGGAAGGGGTACAACCTTGACTTTGGCCTGTATTAAACATAGAGTTGTCTGGCCTGTCTCTTGTATAGAATTAGGATTTTTCATGGTCCTAAGCAATGTCGGGTTTGTGACCTGTGGCTATGCCAAGATATACTGTATTAGATGCCTGCATGATTGTTATACTGGTTCTGTCACTTCATTGACTTACATCTTTGGCTAAATATAGCCAGTAAACCTTATCCAGAAACCCCTTTCAAGTCTTGCCTTTGCCTAGGCTTCCCAAGCACCTGGAGCCAGTGCTAGTAGTACTTCTCAGTTCTTGAGGATAATCCTGTGTCCCGTCCATCTGGCCCTCCCACTCTCATTTTTTCTCTGATGATGTCACTATATCTAATACAAGAAACTATTTCTTGTATTCCAAGTTACCACTTTTCACTCTAAGTCAAAATAGTTTCCTAAGCCACCAAGGAGGTTTCAGGCATCAGCATCTCTTGAGTGCTTGAGACTTTTGCCCCCAGGTTTTAGTTTTTTTCCCTATTCCAAAGTCCTGATTTTAGCCTTGCCTAGTTCAAGAACAGTAACAAGTGCTTGATTGAAGTAACTGGACAGCCAGCCAATCTGTCATGGTTGCTATAGCACAGATTAGGTCATTTGGAAAAATTCCTGTAACTTTCAAGGAAATAGTAATAAGGTCCGAATAATTTAGAGGAGCGAGAATGGCAGTGGAATGAATATAGCATACAGTACAAAGAAAGTGGCTGAGAGAGTGGTAACATGAGCAGAGAGGGAAACAGACAAGACACAAGGAGGGAGCAGGTTTAGCCAGGACTGAGGGGAGAAGGGGGAGAAGGTAAACGGTGTGGAGCATCTCAGTCACAAGTTTCACTGAACACCCACATTGTGCTTATCAGACATCAGAATGTGGAACTAGAGAGCAAGCAAGAATTCTAGGTTAGTTTCAGATTGGGAAGTTGTCCATAGCAAGCTGGTTTTGAAGTTACAGCATTGTTGTAGTCATAGAATGTGAGATGGACAGAGCCTTGGGGATAGGTGCCTATTATAAGATGCTAGAGATTAAAGTGTGAGCACTTCTGACTTTTCAAAGGGGTGGGAGTGGGAGGTGAAGCCCACTGAGGGAGAGGATCCAGTGGGTGAGGCACAGTAAAGATGCAAGAAAGGAATGGGGAGTGGTATTTGGGTCCTGGTGGAAGTGCTCAACCTCACCACAACAAGGGTGAAGAGAAAAATGGCAGAACAGAAATATTTCAGTAAGAAGTTAGGAAGCCCAGGTATAGTGGTCCAGGCTTCTTGTCCTAGCTATTTGGGAGGCTGAAGTGGGAGGAGCGCTTGAGCTCACATGTTCTGAGCTTGAGACCAGCCAGGGCAGCATAGTGAGAACCCCAACTCAAAAAAAAAAAAAAAAAAAGTGGGCCATTGAGGCAACTTATGTCCCAGAGAAGAAGCAGAGACCCTACAAATTTGAGGTGGGTACAGAGGGGCTGAGGGCATGATGGAGGTAGGAAGAGTTTGAAGTGGGTGGTAGGCACTGAGGAGAATATTAGGATCTCCTGCAGGTTAGTACAAAGCTGGTGGACCCGCAGTGGGAATCTGGCTGAGGTGGGATAGCGTGCCCTGAGAGAACAGCCAGACATCCACGTTGGAGAAAAGTATAGGTGGGTCAAAAAAAAAAAAAAAAGTAGATGGACAGGAAAAGGAAGAGGCATGTAGGGGCCGAAAGTGATGGTAAGGACAGAGGGTGGGTTTGGTCTGGGATAAGGAGGGGATCAACATTTACACATTCTTGGGCCACTTTGTTTGTTTGCTAGGCAGGAGTTCTACAACTTGAGCCACTCCACCAGTCCTCTTGGGCCACTTTGGAAACTGTAAAATTCTGTATGAAAATTACTTTTCCTAAGCTAGAGTTGAAGTGTGGTTCCCTGTTCTTAGCAGATATTCTTCTTCGTGGTCACTGTTAATTTCAGCCATGTTTTCTGCTCTCTTCCTATTTGGCTTTGAACATCCTGAGATGTTTTCCTCTCCTGTTCTGAAGTCAGGCTTCTGAATCCTCTCATTTTACTCTGGGTTGTAATCTTTAACCTTGGCTGCACAGTGGATTTCATCTGAGGAGCTTTTGAAAAAATACAGGTGCCTGGTCCCACCCCAGAATCTGATTTAAATGGTGTGACTTGGAAAGAAAAAAATTTTTAGAAGCTCCCCTCAGGGACTTCTGTGCAGTCATGGTTAAGATCTTTTGCTCTAGGCATAAAGCGAAAGTAATGACTCCCATTAATGAGTTGCCACACTGGGAACACCTTCACAAACTTCTTCTCTAACTTGGGCAGTTTTGCAGTGTGGTCAAGCATATGGACTGGAGTCAGATGCCTTGGTTCAGCTCTGTGATCCCAAGAAAGCTCTGTGCTATCTAGAGCCCTCAGTTTTCTAATACGTTGATGAGAATAATCATGATAATGCTTGCAGAAAAGTGAGAGTTAAATCAGGTAATGCAGTGTGTTTATCACAGTGCCCGGCACATAGACAAACTCAACAAATATTCATTGCTTTTGTTAATATTTTTATATTAACAAAATAAAATATTAAAGTGCATTAGCACTTTATTCTAAGAGGAAAAGGCTGTTCTTCCATGGCCCATACAAGTTCAACTCAGTTGCTTTATTTTGTGTCTGTACATTGCTTAATGAAGGTCTATTGCAGACTGTCTTATTCCTAAATTAAAAAAAAAATAAAGCTTTGTGATTGTAGTAATTACCAGTAGCAGGACTTGTTGCTATAAGTGAAAGATGGCAAGAGTTCTTTTCCTGAATATTTAACTCAATTTCAATTCACTTGGTAAGAAAGAAGCCCACAGATTTCATCTCATGAGGACTGAGAATGAACTGTGAGTTTTTCTAGACTCTCAGTCTGGCGGGAACTTGTCTAATAGAGTTTAGTTCTACCTCTACCCCTTACCCCAAGATTGTTTATACAACACGTCTGCAATACTTATGCCACTTAATGTCTTTAAAAGTAAAGAAACATAACTTGCCCCTTCTGCCTGTCATTCAGCCTGGCTCGTCCTCTTTAGTGGGCTGGCCCTGCCATTCTGATGAGCTGCCTGCCCCCACAGCAAGATGGTTGTTTTGAGAGGTAAAAAACTTTTGTTAAAAACAATATTAAACTTTTAATGGATGTTAACATGCTTGCATTTACAAGCAGTGAAGTTTGTCACCTTCATGTTGTTATTTATGCAGCATTAACCTTTTTCTCCAGATCATTGAGACTGAAAATATGATGGACCGAATTGTGACTGGCTTGTCTGAGTCTAGTGTCAAGGTGCGGTTAGCTGCCGTCAGGTATGAGCTTTACATGGTCTGAATAAAAATCCTTTGCTGTGTGTTTAACCTGTTTCCTTTCCGGTCCTTCACCGAGTAAGTGCAGAATCCACACGTTACTGGACAGTCTGCTCGGTGAATTCATGCAGTATGTAGCAGTCTCTAACAGAGCCTAGCCTCCAACGCCTGGGAAGTATCCTCACGTAGTTGATTTAATATCCATAGATGTGCTTGAAGTGGACATTAATAATAGTGAAGAGCAGGCATTTATGTGAAGGGTAAGTGCTGGCTTCTTGGGAAGCTAACTTTGATTGTTCTTTGTAGATGCTTGCACAGTTTGTCCAGATCTGTACAGCAGCTTCGCACCAGCTTCCAGGATCATGCTGTGTGGAAACCGTTGATGAAGGTGAGAAGACAGAGCCTGGCTGAGCTGAGCAGGCCAACAGCAGCCGGGTGTAGGAGTACTTTGAACATTTATCTCCTCAGATGTGATGTTCTGAGCATCTACAAATTACAGACTGTTTCTCAGGGTAGCATCTCGTGTGAAGGGGAAGTACTGGCCTTCTCTTCTTTACTAGTGGAAACTTTAATTACTCGTCTCATCCCCTTATGTGTTCAGTATTCTTTAAACTTAAATCCAAACTTATCCTTGTGATTTTTAGTTAGAAAAAAAGGAAAAGGATCAGTCATTTCCAAACGTAACATGTTCCTCTTAGTCTTTTGGCAATCCCAGGATTATTATTTCTAACATAACTTTTTTTTTACACTAGATCTACTCTTTTTTAATTTTTTTAGGTTTTTTTTTAATTGGGGGTACATTGTGGCATTTATAAAAGTTCTTACAATATAGCAAATGTATCATACTTACTTTCACCCCAATAGAAAAAGGGTTCAGGGAAACTGAGTCTAAATGAAGACGTAAAGAATGTATCGGGTTGCTGCTAATAATATAGTACAGAAGAACCGCAGGTTTAGTTGTCTTTTCCTTTTTTTTTTTTAAATGATCATATACTTTGTATTTACTCAACAGAATTTTTAATTTAGGTTTTTGTTCTGTTTGTGAGTACTTACTAAGTACTAAGCAAAGCCTTCAGGCACAGTGGGCCACCAAAAATTTTTACTATAGTGCTCTTGCCCTATAGTTTCAGGTTAAAGTAGAGGCATCAGTGTGGCAGAAATAGTTAGGAGAGACTTGAGGCAAGAAAAAAGTGAAGTAGACTTTGAAGGCAAAAAGACCAGGAAGATTTTCCTGCATGAGCAGAAACGTCCTGTATGGCACATGTAGGAAGCAGCACGGATGCCTTTATGACTATCATGCCGTCGTATACATCTCATATATAGTGCGATGAGACATACTAATGGACAGGTAAGAGCCAGATGGAAGGGGTGTACTAGTGCCATGGACAGAATATGTAATTTATTATTGAGGTCCTGGATAAGTTGGTAGCAGTGGGTTAAGAAAGATAGTATGAACCCTAGAGGTATTTCAGCCTAAGGACTAATAAGATTCGGTGTATGATTTACTGTTCACGAGCTATTGGGGACACCAAGAGGTTTCTAAAAGGATGTGATTATATGGCCTTGTAAGGCTTAGGACAGTACATTTTTTAAATTTTTCTTTCCTAAGCAGCCTGCATCAAATTGGATCCATTTCCTTCCATTGGCACTCCTCCCTGAGCGTCACCCTGTTTTACTGTATCGGACATATGATAACATTCTAAGTATTCCTCATTTCCTGCTGTCCTTTTGTTTCCTGAGCCTCATTAAGAGCCCTCAGTCTCAGAAAGGTGATTTACCCACTCCCTACTCTCCAGCTACAACATCAGTGTCTTTCTGCTCTGGGAAGATGTTTGCTCAGGGGAATGTGCCAGCTCCTACCCACAAAAGTCCATTTCAGATCCACAATGGCCTAACACCAGATTTGGCATTCCTGGATTTTTGAAGGCTCTCCTCAGTTACTTGACATTTTCCTTTATTGTTCCCACTCTCTTGTTCACATATTATACCTAGCGACTTGATTTTCATTTATTGATTATTCAAGATTTCTTTTTTCTTTTTTCTTTTTTTGGTGACACTGGAGTTTGAACTCCCCCTTATACTTGCTAGGCAGGCACTCTACCACTTGAGCCACTTCACCAGCCTATTCAAGATTTTTTTAACTGCTCTTCTGTTGCCCAAAATAACTCCCTTTCCATCTGGAACCATTTTCTCTGATTGCTCAGCTAAGAACATTTCAATCATGCAAAACACAAATGGAGCGACATGATTTCTGTCCAGGTCTCCCAGGGGAGAGGCCTGATGAGCAGTGTAAAAGGGTTTTTACCCTTGGGTACATGTGGGTATTGTTACTCTCAAATGAGGGCTTTGTTGCACGTTTAAAATACAATGTTGAAAGCTTGGAAGAAGCCTGTGTCTTGCTTCAGATGCATTTTGGTTTCTTCAGCGTTTGTTTGCATATCTCTACTGATTTTTCTTTTGCTTTCCATTCCTTAAACCATTAGTAGTCAACAAGACAATAGGCATTTGATTTTAATTAAAATTTTTATTTGTTCTGATTTTGATATAATTCTATTTGGTCAGTGTTAGATACCACCATGAATTTCACTGTTACTGTCTTCCTTATTAAGTATGCCCGATATGAGAAGCCATGTTGAAAGATACTTGTTTTTTTCATCTTCTGTGATCTCACCTTCATGAATCCAAACAATTAATGGTATCCTTTTTTAATTCTGTAGGTTTTACAGAATGCACCAGATGAAATCTTAGTAGTAGCATCTTCCATGTTATGTAATCTTCTTCTTGAATTTTCTCCAAGCAAAGAGGTTAGTATTGATTTTCTCTTCTTAGATGTGACCTTATCCAGCTACAGCTTAGTCAAATACTTTTTTTTTTAAACTGTAGATGACACTGAAATTTGTGGATTGGATTTAATAACTATTCTGATTTGTTTGATGTGGAAGGGAGAGTGGAAATAAGTTATTCACTTTAAGATACGTTAATTAGTCAGGAGCTGGTGGCTCACAGCTGTAATCCTGGCTACTTAGGAGGCAGAAATCAGGAGGATCTTGGTTTGAGGCCAGCCTGAGCAAATAGTTTGTGAGACCTTACCTCAAAAATACCCAACACAAAATGGCTGGTAGAGTGCCACAAGTGGCAGAGCACCTTCCTAGCAAGAGTGAAGCCCTAAGTTCAAACCCAATACCACCCCCCCAAAAAAAAAAAGGAAATGTTATTTCCCATTACTACTTTTATTCTACCTAGCATATTCAACTTATTTAAAAGACATTACAAAGCTAGGCACAATGACATGCTTCTATAGTCCCATCTACTCAGTAGGCTAAAGCAGGAGGACCACTTGAGCCCAGGAGTTTGAGGCCTGAAAAACATAGTAAAATCCTGTCTCAGAAAAATAAATAAAAATAAGGTATTTCAGCTTTTTAGCTAGTTAGTTGTTAACATAAGCTACTTCAAACTGGAAATAGAAGAAATAATTACAGCCGGGCACCTGCCTCATGCCTCTAATCCTAGCTATTTGGGAGGCTAAGATCAGGAGAATCATGGTTCAAGGCTAGTCTGGGTAAAATAGTTGGAGAAACCCCATGTCCCAAATAACCAGAGCAAAATGGGCTGGAGGCTAGGTATAGTGGGGTGTATTGTAATCGCAGCAACTCAGGAAGTGGAGGCAGTAGGATTTTGAGTTTGAAGCCAGCCTAGGCCAAGTGGGCAAGATTGTATCTCAAAAACAAAATAAAAGCAGAAGTACTGGGGACATAACTCAAGTGGTATAGTGCAAGGGCCTAGCAAGCCCAGGCTCTGGGTTAAATCCCCAGCAATGCCAGTGAATAGACAGATACACAAGTAACAGACTATTTCCAAATTATATTTGCTAAAGAACAAGACTCAGTTTTGTAAGCCAGGATTGTATGTCATTTCAAGGAGATAACTGCTTACATCAGAAAATAGTCTTTTAATGCTTAATATAATGGTAATTGTTTGGAGAGGAATTAAATCTGGAGATTTTATTCCCTTATTTTTTGCATTTAATAAATGATTTGAGCTTCTGGTGTTTTGTTTTTTTTTTAAGTAGAGAAAACCAAAGTTAGTACAGATGGAGGGCATCTCCATCACATAATGGTTATATAATATGTAGCTGTCACACAGTTTCACTGTCACAGTAACTCTGGTCTGTGGCTGGTAGAGCCTGTTTAGCATGTTTGAGGCCCTGAGTTCAATCCTTGATACCAAAAAAGAAATTTAAAAATCCAGTCTTTCTAGTCATAGACTCAGGTTTATTGGGCACTCATGGAATCCCGTTTTTGTTGATCTGCAGGCTTTGACAGGAATTAGGAAGGCAGTATTCCCAAGGTAGCAGCAGTTCAAAGACAGTTCTTTTTTTTTTTTTTTTTGGCAGTTCCTATATGCATTTATCTATTTTGGTTATTTGTACATGAGAACATAAATATTCATCATAAAGATATTTAAGGAAATAGATAAGTTTAATCTGATTAAAATATCTCAGTGTATATACATGTATTGAAAGTTGCATAGTCCAAAAATAAATAAATAAATAAGGCTGGCAGAGTGGCTTAAATGGTAACAGCACCTGCTTTGCAAGCCTGAGGCCCTGAAATCAAACCCCAGTGCCACCAAAAATAAAACAAAGAAAACCAGATAGTATCCCCAAAATATGTACAATTTTTATATTTTTATGCATCAATTAAGATAAAGTTAGACTAAATATATAAGTACTGCCTTATCATACCAAGCAGTGCAGTGTATTAGCTATCAGCTGCCGTATAATGAATTGCCCTCAAACTTAATGGCTTATAAAAACAAAAATGTGTCTTATCTAGTTGTGGATCTGGAACCCAGAAACAGCTTTCCTTGGTGTCTCTGACGAGGTCTTTCATGAGGTTGCAGTGAAGCTCTCAGTCAGGTCTGTGGTCTCACTTGAAGGCCACACTGGGGGATGGTCCACTCCCATTCTATCAAAGACAGTTGTTGAGCCTTCTTAGAATAGAAAGGGAGAGAATAGTAATTACTCTGAATGAAGAGAAAAGCAGGAGGGGTGACAGAGGCTCCATCTGTTCTCCTCTGCCTGGAATGAGGACTTGGCCTGATCATGGTCTAGTTATATTCAGTGTAGCCCCATTGATCATCTACAACAGGTCTTGGGTTGCCTCATCTACCTTCAGAATATTTAGGGCCCAGTTAGGAAATAAGGTAAATGAACTCAGGCACAGGATCATTAATATGAATGATCTTGTATATTAAAGTGACTCTTGATCTGGAAGGGAGAGAAATGCTTAAAAAAAAAAAATTGTTGGGCCAGTTGACAGAATTGAAATAGGGACTATAGATTGATAAAGTTATTGTTTTAATTTCATGTTAGCTGTTCTGAAGTTGATAGCCATACTGTTACTATGTAAGAAACTGTCTTTGTTCTTAGAAAATGCAACTGAAGCATTAAGGATAAAGGGGTGTGATGTATGCACTTTTATTTTCAAGTAATGGGATAAAGTGAATATGGATATAGATGTATAGAATGAGAGGGGTGATGAAACAATTACCCCAAAATGTTAGAAATAGCACAAGTTGTACAAGTAGGGGAATGCAAAGCCCTGTTTAAAAAAAAAAAAAAAAGTCATCCTAAAAAGAATAAAAAGAAGCAAAAAGGTAAAAAAAAAAAAAAAAAAAAATGTCATCTTTGCTACCCACAGTGATTTAAGCCTGTAATCCTAACTACTTGGGAGGCAGAGATCAGGAGGATCACCGTTCAAGGCCGTACTAGGCAAAAAGTTATCAAAACCCTAGCTCAGCCAGACATGGGGAAAGCATAAATAGGAAAATTGTCGTCCATGCTGTCCTAGGTATAAAGCAAGACCCTGTTCAAAAAATAAGTAAAGCAAAAAGGGCTCAAGTGGTAGAGCACCTGCGTAGCACGTATGAGACCCTGAGTTCAGCCACACTACAGCTATGAATGAATGAAAGGTGCAAGTTATATAGATCTGAATTGCTTAAGCTGTTTCTAGAATCCACTTGCCATATGGCCTTTTAGTGTTTATTGGAAATTGTAAATCTTAATCTTCTAAGGTTTGATGTTTTGGGAAATAGCCAAGTATCATAACCATAGTAAATGATAAGGCTCAAGCGTGCTATCTTAGGTGTAAAATATGGCATGACTGTAAAAGAACAAGTGCATTTTGCTTATGCAGTTGATAATTTGTCCTGAAAATAGTTCTTCAGGACAAATTCTGAAATATGTTTGTAACAAAATTGGCAATTTAGAAGGAGGATGGTTTGGTTATCTAAGTTCCATTTTTTAAATTTCTTAAACCAACCAAATTGCTTCATAGTCACAGCTTGTAAGCAACAAACATACTACATACATAGACAGATCAGAGTGACTGTCCCAGGGGATGGTGAGTGAGAGTGCGGAACGAGATAATCCATACATAAGAGTGCAAGTGAATGAACAGGTACTGGGACATTGCCAGAGTCTTTTGGACTACAAAGAAAAGGGGTGTCTGTGTGTGTGTGTGTGTGTGTGTGTGAGAGAGAGAGAGAGAGAGAGAGAGAGAGAAAGAGAGAAGAGGAGAGGAGAGGAGAGGAGTACTTACCCTTCCCTTAAGGTAACCTTTATGGCTGTATCATTTCTGTTTTGTGTACACTGTTTGGGATTGAGTAAAAGCGAGGAACAAATCCCAATGCCAGGGCAGATACATCTTTAGTTTGCAAATCTGATTTCAAAGCCATTTTTGTTTTGTTTTGTTTTTCCAATCACAGCCCATTCTAGAATCAGGAGCAGTAGAACTACTTTGTGGGTTAACCCAGAGTGAAAATCCTGCTTTACGAGTGAATGGAATTTGGGCTTTAATGGTACGTTTCACCTTTTTAATTTACAAACAGAATAAAGGTATTATCAAAGTTAGAATTAAGGGATGTTTCATATGAAATGTGGAATTTTCTTTTTTAAAAACCTGGCTAATACAGCCCCGTTTTCTAATGAACTAGGACCTAGAAGATTCAGTTTTCAGTCTTGAGATTCACGTGTAAGCAAGCTGCTTTCCACAAGGTGCCTCACATCTATTACTATTATGAAAAACGAACAGGTGTTCAAACTTCACTTCTCATTTTAGGAAACAAATTTTTGTTATCATGAGCACACTGATATTCACAGAGAGCTACCTACTTCACAAAGCACTTTCGTATTTCCTTTGATTTTTAGAACTTTATGAAATAATAGGGAATGTTCTTAGCATACTTTACAGATAGGTAAACTAAGGCACAGAATACTTATGTTCTTTAATTGACAAACAGTTGTATTTGTGTGGTGTACATGTTTTAAGTATGTATACCCACATTGTGGAGTAGCTGAGTTGAGCTAATTTGCATATGCATTACCTCGCATACTTACCATAGTAACATGATTTTTGCATAAACGCTTAGTAATTTAGCAGTTTCTAATACATTCTAAAATTATGAGGTCAAAGGGCGTGATCCTATATGGACTTTTTAAGAACATAATTATGGTAGTTAAAATTTAACTGCTACCAGATGCTAAGCTACGTGTTCTATGTTTGTTACCTCCAATTCTAATTTTAAGTTACACTGGAATATGCCCACCTTACAAATGGGGAGCTGGGGTTCAGGGAGGGTAAATGAATCTGGAGGGTGAAGACCTCACAGCTAACAGTGATGGAAGTGGGTTACAAGCCTGCACTCTCCTCCTTGCTGCTTTCTGTGTCAGCTGACGCTGCTCACGTGGAGTTTGGGGTAGAAATGATTGTCTTCTAATAAAGCTCCAAATCTAGTGGCTTTAACCTTATTTTTCTCTAACTTTGTACAACTTGTAGCTCTTGTCTTCCTGAAACTCTTTCCCAGGATTTGTTTTTTAACTCACTTTCTACCCAGCCTTCTTTTTAGGGGATTCCCGGTTTTCAGTTCTCTTTCCACTTCAGATTCAAGGACTCTCCCTAATAGAAGAGCTTACTTCAAAATTTATGTAACCAGATGTAACTGTTACCTGTTCCCTAATTGCCTGTCGGGCTTCATTTGAGAGTTCCCAGACATGTACATCTTAAATGCTGGAAACTGATTTCTCATCCCACTCTTAAATCCAGACAAACTGTCTTACTCTCATCAGTGTCCATATCACCAGCTGCTATGTTCTCTGTCCACAAAATAGCATACCTTGCAATCATCTTGGGTGTGGCCTCTTCATGCCCAGTGAGTACTCTCTGCTCTGACATGCTTCCTTTCATCATTGTACTTTGATCCCTCATGTGTCTTAGCTCCTTAAGTAAAATAGGTATCTGGGGGCAGTAGCCAAGTATGTCCCAGTTCATAAGGAACATTTATATCAAAAGGTGTTTTATTAGTAGCTATTTGGAATTTATTCTTCAGATTTTTTTTCCTTCAGAAATGTTACTAAAGCTTAGAGTTAAGCTGAACTAATCCATTACGTGATTTAGAAGAGAAAAAAAAAGTAGAAGCAGCAAAGTAGCTAGTGGCTATCTGGGTAGCTGTAGTCAGGATATACTTCCTACCCCTGGAGAGCTTCCTGTGTGACAGGGCCTTGGCCATCCAAACACCTAGCAAGCACAGTAGTGTTTTCATGCTAGTAGAGTTAACAAACCATGGCTTGTTTTCATCCATGGTGAGTGAGTATTTTGAAATCATTCTCAGAGTGATTTGTGGCATTTTGACTCTAATGACTATAGTGAGGCCATAGCCATGTTGTTAATTAAAGTAGTCAGACGGCAACTTGATAACCATAAAGATGGTCTCACAACTAATCAGTGGGCTTTGTATTTATTCAGTCTATCTTAAGTCATTCAGATGCCCATGTTAGAAAGCAATAACAGTCCTCATATAGAAGTATATCTTGGAGTGGCAGTTACCTTTGTCTTGACAAATAGAAAAGTAGGTGGTTAACAGGATTCAGAAAAATAGTGTAAGTCATACTTAAGGATTTTGTACAGATTCTGTTTGTACTTTGAAAATTATCAGAGCTACTATTAAAATACAGTTTCATAAAGTAAATATAGACATGATTCTTGCAACTTCTTTAATCCTTTCAGAATATGGCATTTCAGGCTGAACAAAAAATAAAAGCAGATATTTTACGAAGCTTGAGTACTGAACAGCTATTCCGGTTATTATCAGATTCAGATTTGAATGTGCTGATGAAGACATTGGGACTTCTTAGAAATCTCCTCTCTACTCGGCCTGTAAGTAAAATCACCCAGGCATCCAGATTAGCTAACCCTGCCTATGCTTTGGCCCAACACCTGCCTATGATTGTGATTAAACGCTGCCCTTTCCCAGAGAAGCAAGGAGTTGATGTGTAGACCTGTCACCTTTGCAGATATTCTGGGAACTGCTTCACATGTAGCTCCCTCCCCGCCCTCCTGCACTGCCTGTCGTGTCTCCCTCTCCCCTTGGTGCTGGACTTGTGCCTGCCTTGGTTTCTTACTTTATTCTTACCTGGTTTGCTGGCCAGGATAGGTTTTCTCATCTGCCTAAACCACTTATATCTTAGGACTCTACTTGTTTCCCTTTAGAGCATTCTTCTCAATGCCATTTCTTTAGACACCCCCAACCCACATGTACATTATTGACCTCTGAAGATGTCATTGTGCAGAGCAGTGGGTACATGTCACGGTAGGGGAGGACGAGCCTTGTTGTTAGGGTCACTCTCATTATTCTCTGATGTTCTCTTAGTGAGCAGCAGTGTCAGCAACCTTCAGGTACATGGAAACATGGGTGCTCCCCTTCTCTGTTTCTTACTTATCTTTGAGTCACCTTTATACATTTGTGCCCCATGATAGTCTTAGTAAACCTATGCCATATTTTCCATGTCTCTGGCTTTTATTCTCCCATTGAATTTTGTGCTTCCTTTTTCTTTAATATCTTTGGGCTTGAGGACCCCCAGTGACTTTAGTTCTGTATTTTCAGTCCAACTCTATGCTCTCTTCATGCTTTTCATGGTCAAGACACTATATGTGCAGATACAATGTTTGAAGGCAAAATACAGCTTCAAAATTTAATAAACGCTGATCTATGGCATCTAGGTCTGTGTGGTTTGGTGTCCTGCTTGAAGCAGTTGTGTGTCATATTATTTAACTTTTAGAAGCCTTCTTTCATATGGTTCTTTTCTTTGTTTTCCAGATGACAATTATGAATTTCTCCTTGTTTTTCAGCATATCGACAAAATAATGAGCACTCATGGAAAGCAGATTATGCAAGCTGTCACCCTTATTCTGGAAGGGGAGCATAACATTGAGGTCAAGGAGCAGGTATGTGTTCCTTTTTCTTGGCAAATAACCTTGGAATGTGAGTACAAAGATAGATCTTAAGACTAGATGTTCTAGAGACAAAAAGAAAGATTTTCTACCACCTTTTAAACTCTGCAAAAACCCATCTCCCTGGAACAGTCTTTAGCTTTCCCTTTTGTCACTCACTGTTCCTGCTGTCCCTGTCTCTACAGAAGCAGCCTCCTTTGATCATCCTGGAATTAATCCTCTCTTCAGGATTATTTCTAGCCCTTTCTACCACCGTGCTCTGAACTGCAACTCCTGCAACTCCCTGATAATGCTTTACTTTGAAGATGGTTTTGTCAGTGCCTCCTGAGTTGCTGAAATACCAGGTGGAATTGTACCCACCTTACAGAAGTAAATTTCTAAAAATCTCTGTCTTTACATAAACTCTAAAATCTCTGGAGATACGTACAGAATAGAGTCCAGAAATATATGGCCACTTGATTTTTTCTGAGGTGATTCATTGGAGAAACAATGGTCTTTTGAACAAATGGTGTTATAACAATTGCCAAAAAAATTAATGTTGAACTTTCTTATACCTTTGTTCAATTTATCTATAACTCTAATATACGAGGTAAAACTATAAAACTTTTGGAAAAGAAATGCAGGAGAAAATTTTTGAGATCTTAAAATTGGCAAAGAGGTTTTAGATATGACAATTAAAAATATCAACCAGAAAAGGTAAATACAAAGTTTCAAAATGAACATGTAAAGCTTCACTGTTAAGAGAATGAAACAAGAGGAATACATTCTTTTGGATAGATTGGATACACTTGCTTCTGTACATAATATGTAAAGAGCTTTTGAAACAATAAAAAGACAACCACGTAAAAAACTGAGCAAAAAAGCATGAACAGACACTCCATAATAAAATATCACTGCAGTCTTTTAGAATGGCAAACATTTTTTGAACGTTTTACAAGGATAGCAAGGAAACGGAGTATAAAGTTGGAAGGCAAAGTGATACACTTTGGAAAATAGTTCACTGGTTTCTTAGAATATCGAGGATGTGCAGTCGTCCCTCAGTATCCATGGGGGCTTGGTTCCAGAACCATCCCTTATACCAAAATCCATGAAAACCCCAGCCCCATATATTAAATGCCATACACACATCCTCCTGTATATTTTTAAATAATCTCTAGATTACTTAGCATTTGCAAATGCTATGTAAATAGTCATTATGGTACATTGCTTAGGAATTAATGAGGAAAAAAAAAGTCTGTAGGTGTTTAGTACAAATTGTTTTTTCTTAATATTTTCCATCCATGGTTGGTTGAATCCATGGGTGTGGAACCCACCAATATGGAGGGCCAACTGAAGTTGCCATACAACCCAACAGTGCATTTATTCACAGAAAATGAAACCAGGTTCACATAAAACCCTGTGTGTCAGTGTTTATAACAAATGTATTTGTAGTCACTGAAAACTGGAAACAAACGAACTGTCTCTTAACCAGCTACTGAATAAGCTGGATACCAATTAGCACCTAAAAGGGACAAACTATTTTTACATCCAGCAACGTGGACAAGCCTTGTGTTATGTTACATGAAATATGCCAGATTCCAAAAGCAGCATTTTATAGAATTCCATTTATGTGGCAATTTGTAAAAGACAAAACAGAAAAAAACAAAGGTACCCAAGGCTTAAAGGAAGTGAGAGTGAATTCAACTCAAGAGGATAGCACAGCAAAACTTGGGGAAATAGCAGAGCTGCTGTCTACGCTGAAAGCTGATGTGTTTGTTATAAGACTTTATACATTTGTCAAAAAATGACACCAACAGAGCAAATTTTGCTATATTATAATTGTGTTTAAAAAATAGCCACCTGGGATTTTGATTGGCATGGCACCAAATAGATGAATTTGAGAAGTGCCATCTTAATACTGAGTCTGCCAATTGTGTAATCCGTTTACCTTCTCAATGATTTAGGTCAACTTAGACCCTTTAGAGCAGGTCTTGTGTTTCTTTTATCCAGATTTACCCTGAAATATACCTTATGTTTTATGCTATTGTAAATGTTTTGATTCCAGGAAAATCAGTGTGCTCATTGCTGATATAGACAGGTTTTTTTTTGTGTGTTACTGGAGTTTGAACTTGGGACTTCGCATTGCTAGGCAGGCACTCTATCACTTGAGCTGTGCCTCCAGCCCTATAGATAATTTTGAATATTGTTCTTGTAATCCCACTATCTTGCTAAACTAATTTTTAAGAGTTTTTTGTTGTTGTTGTTGGTTTGATTTTTTGAAGGTTACTTAGATTTCTTTAGGGATGATCACATCACCTGTGGATGAAGACAGTTTTACTTCTTACTTTCCAATCTGTATACTATTATTCTTGTTTCATTGTCTAGCTAGAACTTTCCATTGAGGCTCGACATACTTGCATCATTCCCAACATTAGAGGACAGCTTCAGACTTTCACCATTGACTAGGAAAGATTTGGGGTTTTCAAAGATACCCTTTATTTTTTTGTATTATTATGGATTGCCTTTAATATTCTTTTTAATCTTTTCCATGTTAGAGAAAGCACAATTTCCCTGCTCCCCTTGCTTTTCTTGGTTCCATTCAGCTCCATACTTTTGAAGTTGTTCATTTTAAAGGTTTACCTTCTTCTTCTTTCTTCTTCATGCCAGCTGGCGTCTATTCAAGTCTCCTGGGGGAGTTGGTGTGTTGTCTACTTCCCTTGAAAGATATTCTAAAGGTCACTGTTTTCATTTGTGCTAATTACCTCATCTGTCACTGAAAGCTTCCATCTTCAGTTTCAACAGCGATGATCCTTCTGGTAGATGAACACTTTCCTTGTGCTTTCTCTCCATACCCTGCACCTGGAGCCACTCATATGCCAACCTGGCTATCCCGTGCTGGGAATCCATGATAACCTGGGGTCAGAGGCTGGTTCTGCATCCCACCACTTCCTCGGTGCACAGCTGCTTGTACAAGCCAGGTTCGGCTCCGTCTCCTCTGTCTCCATCTCCTCCAGCTCCAACTCCCACTTCATGCCCCCGCAGCAGCACCAGCCCAAGCCTGCTGGGCACCTTCCACCATCCGGGAGCGTGACCCACAACAGGCCACCATCCCCTCACAGATCCCCTTTATCAAGTAAAAGAAATTTTCTTCTCTTCCTAGTTTGTTGAATTTCTATCAATGAATGGATATTGGAATTTTTTCCAGTTGCCTTTTCTGTACCTATTGAAATATTTTTCAAGTCTGTCTGATTGAAATGGTGAATTCTGTTATTCAAGTTTCAGATGTTAATTGTACACTTGAGATAAACTCTCCTTGGTCATTTTGTATTACTCTTTACATATGTTGTTGGGTTCAATTTACTGAAATTTGGCAGGGCGTGTATCACATCTGTGTTCATAAGGGATACTGATGAATAGTTTTCTTGTAATATTTTTGTCTGGTTTTGGTACTGGGATAGTGCTGGCCTTAGGGAAAGAGGTAGAGGTGTCCTTTCTTTGATTTTCTGTAAGAATCTGTAGAAAGGGCTGGTGGAGTGGCTTAGGTGGTATGAGTGCCTGCCTAGTAAGCATGGAGGCCCTGAGTTCAAGCCCTAGTACTGCCAAAAAAAAAAAAAGAGAGAGAATTTGTATTACTTGTTTCTTAAATATTGGTGGAAAGTTCCAGTGAAGCCACCTTGATACATGATTTCTTTTGTGGAAAGGTGTTTAACTTTATAGTTAATTTAATTTCTTTAATAGGAATAGGACTACTTAGGTTATCTTGTTCTTCCTGAATGAGCTTTGGTATTTCATGTCTTTCAAGGATTTTTTTTTTAATGTCATCTAAGTTTTCTCATTATCGACATGAAATCGTTCATTGTATAATCTTTTTAAAGCAAGTAGTATCCTTTACAGTGTCCCCTCTCTTATTCTTTATACTGGTAATTCCTTTTTTTTTGATCAATCTGACTACAACTTCAGCAGTTTCATTGGTCTTTTAAAAAATCCGGTTTGGGATTTATTGTCTTCCCCCTCATCATTTTTTTTGTTGCTGTTCTCTTTCAGGAATTGACAAACTTTCTGTAAAGGACTATATAGTCTCTGTAGTAACTGCTCACTTATGCTGATCTAGCCTGAAAGCTGCTGTAGATAATACGGGAATGTCATGGATGTCCTTCAATAAAACTTTATTTGCCAAAACAGGCAGGAGGTTAGATGTGGCCTACTTTAGGCCATAGTTTGTAATCTCTACTCTATTTCATTGACTTCCTGTTGTTCCTGTTAGTGGATATACTAATGTGAATACACTAATTGTATATGTCTGTGTATTTATGTAGTTTTTGTCTCTTTTTCCTTGTTCATATATTGAATTGATCTGGCCCAAGAACTAATTGATCTCTTTTAAGATTTGGTTTTCTTGTCTCCATAGAAATATTTACAATAAGGTTGTTGAATGGCAGAGCAGAACTGCATTTTCCTCTGTTGTGCTTTTCAGGCCTGAAGGTGCTCTGGTTTTTTCTGACACTCCAGAAGGGGGAGTCACTTGTCTTGTCAACCTAGTCTAATCTAAGGAATCTTTCTTGTAATTTCCCTTTATAGTCTATCTTAGTAGGTAAGAGACAGTTCTTCCTAAAGCGAGGCATTTACATTTGCCATTTATTTCCTCTTAAGCCACTCTGGCCATCAAATAGAACTGACTCTTCTTGAGGAGAAATGGGGAAAAAGGAAAGTAAGAGAGAGAACCTATGATTCATCCATGTGCTGCCCCCTTCCCACCGGGCTTTACTTCTGTTCCCATTGCGTGGCCTCACTCTTTGCCATTGATTTTGTCTTAATAATCCTGGCAGAGCCTACCCAGTAGGGATCACATCACTACTGTCGATGGATATCATCTTGCTGGCTTGATCTTAAAAGGTGGGATTATGGTAAAGCTTGTTAAGACTGTCCATGATACATAGAGGAAGGACAGAATTAGAAGGAAGGAATGTGGAATTTCCACACGTAATTTCCTGCATTAGTGAGTCTGATGTAGCCAGTCTGGATCACAAAAATGTCAAGATATCTGTTGAGAAGGGGAAAGAGACAGTGGGGTACTCATTGTATTCAGTGACCCTATTTTATAGGTTCCGGTGGGACTAGAATATGGATGGAGCAACCCTCACTCACATGGTTCTGATGTCATCTTAGACTTGAATTTCTGAAAACCATTTGCCTGTCAGCTCCTTTCCAAACTAATTAAACTTGTCATGATCAAGCCTGGCCCTTCTTAGGTTCTTTCCTACAGGAGACTAAACCAAAAGGAGTGCAGATCCATTATTACTCGTTCTGTTAGGGTGTCGTGCCTGCCAAAGACTTTTAACAGGCTCACCTGTACCAACACATGTGCCACGTCAGTTCAAACTGACATCTTCCTCAGGCATCCCTATCTCACTTCTAAGACACATCAGGTCTCCTCATCTGATCTTACTGCGCTGGAATAAATAGTCACCCAGTACTGCAGAAGCCTTGGATTCTAAGTTGTGTTTTCTGTGTCTCTTGTATACCAGATGCGGCCTTTTCTAGTAATCTGATTTTTGCTGTGTTAATCTAAGAGAAATAAAGCCACACACCACACACCCTTTAGGATATTTGAGGTTTTGGGCCTGAGCAAGAAAACAATCTCCTCATTTAGCTTAATTACCTTAAGTCTTGCACAGAAAAAAGGTTAAAGTTGGAGAAAGTTGAGACTGTGTCCTATTCCCACCTCTCATTCCTGTTTTTAAGGTTCTTATCTGTGCTTCAGGACTCAGTGTCACCTTCTCCAAGAAGTCTTCCCCAACCATTGCAGTATCCAACAACTGCTTGTACTTCCTGTTTTCTTAGTACCAGTCGCCCCACAGTGAAATGTGATTGCTCATCACAAGACTCAGGGAGCGTGTCTTACTCTTGTCTCACCCTGTGGGTCTGCAGAGGGCAGGACCATTTAGGTGTTCTATAAATGTTTATTGAATTACTCAGTCATATTCCTGTCACAGTCCTCTCACCTGTACCTTAATCCTTGCCACCTGTTGGTCTCACAGTGAAAGTGGAACGGTGTCTTTTGAGAAGAAACTCCAATCATCAGTCTTTAAGATGTGCTATCTTGCCACTGGCATAGGTTCCCAACAATCTCCACATCAGGCCAGCTCCTCCACACATTTTTCTCCCCTTTCTGTTCCTCTAATAGTTGAAAAGCAGTCAAGAGGTCCTAACTGCACATGGCCAGTATAGCTTGTAGGCTTTAGGTTTTACCCTGGAAGTCATGAACTGGGGAAGGAAGGGGAGTTGCAAACCAGTTCCTGTGAAGCTTCCACCAAAGAAAATGCATCTCTGAAGAAAAACCTGTGGGTTAGTCACAGAGATATTGTTTGTTTGTTTGTTTGTTTGTGCAAAGGATCCAACCTAGGTGGGGCCTTTTACATGCTAGGTAAGCACCCTACCGCTGAGCTATACCCTCTGTGCAGAAATGAAATTTTAGGAAGAAACTACATTTTCGCTTTGATTTCTGTGACAATGTGACCTATACAACTTACCCATCTGTGGCATAATGACCAGGAAATTTATGTGCCTTCAGGTGAGAAACTTCCCAAGCTCTTTTATTGTTTATTTAATTTAGTTTAATTATTATTTTTTTTGGCAGTACTGGGGTTTGAACTCAGGGCCTTGCACTTACTAGGCAGGTGCTTTACCACTTGAGCCACATCCCCAACCCTTACCCAGGCTCTTCAGAGAGCTTAACTCCGGGGACCTTAGAGCTTTTTTGATCATTGGCTCTTTGTTCTTTTCTAGACACTGTGCATCCTAGCCAACATAGCAGATGGGACAACAGCAAAAGAACTTATTATGACTAATGATGACATCCTGCAGAAAATCAAATATTACATGGTAAGCCCTTGATCCCTTTCAGTGCAACATTAGACTCAACATACATGGGGGGGAAAAAAAAACCCAAAACAGTAAACTACTCTGTGACAGATTGAAAGAACTCTGTCCCATCCCAGGAATGGGGACTTCTTGATGCTTGCACCATTGGTAATACTAGCATTGACCATCTGAGACCCTACCTTGTCATCGTCTGATTGCCTCCTCTTATTCCTTGAAGACTTAGCTCCTGGCTCCCTCTCAGTGCTCTTCAGTCCCTGTCTTCCCTCTCAAGGCCTCAGTCCTGTGGTGGATTAATGAGTCCTGTAGCTTCCTGTCACTTTACACACTGACCTCTTTAGTTCCTCAGTGAGGCAATGCTGTTGCCCTGGGTTCCACAGAAAAGTTGAGATCCACTGGCTCAGGGGACTCTCATCCACCCCATGGCATGGTTTTTCCAGCACCACAAAATAAGAAAAAGTTTCCCTTAACTTCCCATATTCCTTATTTGATGTAGGCACACCTGTTTCTCTACTGCTGTTCAAAGTCATAGTTCTTAAAAGCATCTTCACATGTTATCTCCTCCCTTACTCTGAATTCACTCTCCCCTACTTCATGTGGCCTCCATCCCCATCACTGTACTGAAAATGTTCTGCTTAGGGTCAGCAGTGACCTCCATGGTGCCATGATGCCAAAGGGTCCCTTTTCTCCTCATTTCACCCACTTACAGCAGACTTCCACACAGCTGGCCGTTTCCTCCTGCTGAAACATTCCTTCCTCTTGGCTTCATGGCACCATACATCCCACTTACCCTGAACCCCTGCTCCTCTCTCCTACTTGCTCTCCTGAGGTTGCAAGTTCACAGTCTTGGTTGCACAATAGAACTTCCTAGGGAGCTTGCAAAGACTATTGCCTTATCTTCACCCTTCCAAGATTCTGACATAATAAATCGGTGTGCAGTATAGCATAGCCATCAGGATTTTTACCAGTTCTCCGGGTGGTTCTTATACACAGAGTTGAGAACCATTGGCTCAAGGGACTCTCATCTACCCCATGGCTTGTGCTGTCATCACCTCTATGCACATGATTTTTAAATGCACACCTGCAGCCTAGACCTCTTTTTAGTTCTTTGGCCAAAGTGGATATGTGGGGCCTCAGTTACTGCTGGGCCACATGGTCCTGTTATGCAGGCTTCTGTCTTAGGAACTTAAATAAAATGTGTGAAAATCTATTTGAATAAAAGGAGTTCATTTAAACAAAAACGAATTGTTGCATTTCTTCCCTAAACTTAAATGGCTCCTTTCCTTGTCATTTTTGTTCGGTGTAGTGGCTCTGCCATCTACCCCGCTGCTCAGACCCAAGAGTCTATCTTGATTGTCCCTCTGGCCCCTCATTCGTCACAGCAAGTCCTGTGAGCCCTTCTTCCAAAACTGATCCTGAATCAGTTTACTTCTTTTCTTCCATCATCACTCCCTCCGCTCTAATCCATGTCATAGTATCTCATGCCCTGGGTGACTATGTGATAATAGCCTCCTAGGCTCTTCTGCACTGCACTCCAGTTCATCAAAGTGATTTGAAAATGTAAGTCACATTGTATCCCCCACTGTAGAAATCCTTCAGGGGCTTCCTCTGAACTCAGAATGAAATCCAAAATCCCTACTTTGGCCCACAAGAGCTCACAATTTGGCTATGTCAACTTCTCTGAACATTCAGCTCCTTACCTCAGATTTTTTTCCAGGAAGTTTCCCGTCTTCTTGGAAACCTCTAGACCCTTGATTTTTGCTCATCTGGAACCTTCTATTAACTTTCTGTCTTCTCTGTGCACTCTGCCTAAATTAAGCTCCCATCTCTTCACTGTCCTGTTTCATTGAGTGAATAATAAATGAACGTCTTTTTAGTAAATGCTTGTTACAGTACACACATCCACTTTATCCAGTTTACTCATTGATGGCCCAAGACAGGAGCAGATGATAAGTTTTATTTGGTTTTGTCTTAATGGACCAAAGTGAATGGACGTCTGTTTAAAATTGTTGATAGGCAGAAGAAAGAATCACTGACCATAGAATGCTAATGGAGGAAGACATGTCCATTTCATCGTCTTTTCTTTGTAGAAGTATAATCCTACATGAGAAGATAAGTCTGTCCTGCCTTCAAGAAATTGTTGAGCATATCATGCTGTTGATTAATAGGAAAATCACCTATAAAGATTCTTTGACTATTGAATCCTCTTTCATTCAGCAGAAATCACTTTATATTGATAAATGATCCAACTTAACCAGAAATGGTTGTACATCCAGTACATAAAGAAAAATAGACAAGAATTGTGTGTTTTAGAAGGATAAGAGGCACCTCAATTATAGTTGGAACATTGGTAAATCAAGTAGAGATTTGGTCTAATTTTTTGGGATACTCTGAAAAAAAAAAAGTAATTTAATTATTCCAGAAGCTGAATATATTCTTACAGTTCTTATTTTCAGCGAGTAGTGTCAGGAGAGTTAGCCATTTATAAATTGTGCAGGAAAGTCTAGTTGTTTTCTTGGAGCATGTGAATAAGATAATTTATTGGCTGCTAGTGACCTGAAAGCATAGACTTAAGTCAAAAACACAAGAGTTGTCGTGTGGTAGTGTTTTTGGATACATGGATTGAAGCATAAATTTGATGCTGTACCTATGGCCCAAGAAGTATTTCATTTGGTCATCAGATGTTTTTTAAGATTTGTGTTTGAATGTTCCCAGGTAAGGCTTGGTCTCCTCAGTTGGTCAGATTCCTACCATTACCTGGTGTTTTTAGCCCAACCCTTACACTTAACTAATGTTAACATTATGACTCCACAAGACAATGGAGTTTGATACTTTTGCTTCTAATTTGTAGGCTTTTGGAATTGCCTATGATATGTCGCCAAAAAAAATGATGTGCAAGGCCGTTAACTTCATTTTTATTTTGATTCCTTTTGTGCACCATTAGGGTCATTCACACGTCAAACTGCAGCTCGCCGCTATGTTTTGCATATCAAACCTCATATGGAATGAAGAGGAAGGTAAGAGATGGTGAGATTTGTTCTGGAGAAAATTATGGGAAGAGAGTCTCACATGGGGCATGCAGCAAGTGCCCCTAAAGTTCTGGGTAGAAGCCCCACTCACTGCATTGGGCCATGGCCCCAGCACTACAGAGTAACCCTGTTGTGAGAATCAGGGAGACCAGTCTGAGTCTCCCTGAACTCTGAGCAACCTTGTCGGAACCAACACTACCAGATTGCTAGATGTGAGAAGTGATAACCCTGCCCTTGGGAGTACTGATGAGGAAATGCAGAAACGCACCTGGAAAAGGTGAGACGAGAGAGTCCATGGGAGGATGGGCCTTTTGTTATGAGCAGAGGAAGTACATCTAAGAACTTTTGGCAGATAGGTGTGATAGCAGAGGGTGTGTTGGTGAGAAATACAGTCTTAGTGGTGAAACTGCCCATTTGTAAGGAGACCTTTTTAGATCAAAGGTTCTTTACTCAGCTGCATATTAGAATCACCTGGGGATTTTCCCACTAGTCCAAGTAAGTCAGAATCTCTAAGGCAGGCTGTAGATGGATGGTTTCTAATGCTTCCCAGGTAGTTCCAGTATATAGACAAGGCAGCAGCTATAGGTGGAGGAGAGCACTGGGTCTCAGTGGAGGGTTGACTGCATTAAAATTTAAGTTTCTGATCTTTATCCTTAGAGAGTCTGGCTCACTAGATCTAGAGGGGGCATTGCATCAGTGTCACTAGGCTTGTCAGAGGAGAAAAGAGGGTATGGGAGGGGGGTTCTGTACTCAGCAGTTGTATCTGAAACAAAGTGGAAGAAGGTGAAACTGAATTCAACCCACAGACCTAGATACTAAGTAGCATCTGTGTTCCAGGGAGACAAAGCCAGGCCTCAAGGTCTTAATCTTATTGGAAGATAGAACAGAGCAGTATGAAATTGCAGCTGTCAATTTTGCTAATAACCAAGGGGCAGTAAGCAATGCTGGGAGAAAAAAGGAGGATAGAAAACAACTGAAGGGAAAATAAGACATTTTTGGAATAGGAAGAACTCAGCCTGGTCAGGGATATGGGTATGTCCTGAAAGAGTGACAAAGCTAGGCCCCAGTGACAGAGGACTGAAGAATCTGACCTTGATCCTTAGTCCATGGAGAGATTACTTCAGCAACAGAACCCAGGAATGGACTGAAGGAAGGAGGGCCAAGAGGCAAGAGACCAATTAGAAGGTTGTGAGAGACCGGGCATGGTGGAGCACACTTGGAATCCCAGCTACTCGGGAGACAGAGCAGAAGGATCACAAATTTGAGGCTAGTCTGGGCAAATTAGTCATACCCTCTCTCAAAAACAAAATGCAAACAAAAAGGGGTGGGTGTGTAACTCACATAGTAAAATCCTTGGCTAGCATGTGTGAGGGCCTGGGTTCAATCTCCAGAACTGAGGAAAAAAAAGGTTGTGAGAGAGTCCAAGTGTGAGGGGGTATCCAGCTATTTCAGAGGAGGGCAGAGGACTGGTGAGGCAGCTGCCTGCGTCATCATGTTCCTAGTAACCTGATAGTTTTAATCTTCTAGGTTCACAAGAACGCCAGGATAAGCTACGAGACATGGGCATTGTAGATATTCTACACAAGCTGAGTCAGTCACCAGATTCAAACCTTTGTGACAAGTAAGTATCAACATAAAAGGGCTTTGCTGCAGGCTGTGTTGCATTTTTTTATGAAAGGTTTGAATTGCTTGGTGGTTTTCATGGCCAGTCTTTTAAAGTCTTTTAGATTATGGGATTTCCTTCTTAATTTTCTGTGAGCCAGCTCTGACATTTGAGTGAGATAGAAACTAATAATTTCCAAGTTATTAAAGACTCTCATCTTACTCTGAATTAGCATGAGTTGGAGCCATCTTAGTGTCTGGAGAGGATCCATAAGCCATGTCCTTATAGCCCCTTGACTGTTAGAGGAGAAATGCATTTGATACTTTGGAAAGCAGGAAGATCAGAAATGAAAATGATGGTTAGCTCAAAATATCACTGAGCATAGCATTATGCTAGCACAGCAGTGACTGCTAAGGAGTCAAAGAGCTCATCATTTCCTGGAGGGGCAAGAGACCCTCCCCATAGTCAGAAATGCTTTTCCTAGCTGTGTCCACTCCCTTGTAACTGTTCACATTCCAGCTCACTTTCACATAAAACAGCAGCAAGGAACACCATCTTTTTCATTCTCCATGCACTTGAGTTGAGCTCAGAAGCCCTTCAGTCCTTCGTGGTCTGGCTCTGCCTTTCTCATCTCTACCCCCAAGCCTTGTTCACTCACAGTATCACACCATCATGCATTTACACATTCTGTTCCATCTGACCTGCCATCCCTATCTCCTGCTCTCAGTTTTAAGCATTGGTGATAGAACTTGGTGGCATCCTTGCCCTTGTGCAATTTACATTCTAATACAGAAGACAGACAATGAGCAAATGAATATATAATACAATATCAGATGATAGGTACGATGAAGAAAAATACAGCAATATAAGGAAATGGAGAGTAATGAAAGTTTCTTTTTAAGGGGCATCACTCATAAACTTGTTTCTGAAAATGTCCTTGTAGGACCCAGCTCACCCATATCTTGGGGACAATCTATCTAGAGCTTTCTGTTCTGATAGATTGGGCTATCCACAAGTATTATCTTCATAGAACCTTACATAACAGCAAGAATACAGTTTTAAAGAATGTTGTTTAAAACAATAGATTATATCCATTGCTTTCTGGCGGAAACTGCCCTTGAGTTCAGGTTATTGCATGTTCAGTCTTCTTGAAACTGCTTTACCAAACAGCAACAGAAGATTTTAGCTTTTCTGTAATTTAGGAGGGGATACCATTTCAAAAACCTAACTTCTGACTCCACAATTGTATCTTCCTTAGAATCTGCCAAACTAGTGATGGGAGTAGTAAGGGAGGCCTCCTCACTTGTGCAAGGATTAGGATAGGTTAAGGCACTGTTCACATTGTGTCTTTTCCTCTTCACCTATCTTCTTCCCCAGTCACCATAGCAGCCTACATCCCACAGTGATCAGGAGTGATGAGAACAGTTGTGAAGCAGTTGAAATGTTCTCATAAGACAGCCTCATTCCATGGACTCTTGGCCCCTTCCATGTATCTTTTAATCAACATCTCAGCCCCTTCTCCTGGGTCAGCTTTCTTCCTCTTGGCTTCCCAGAGCCATGAGTGTCCTCCCCTGGTGTTATGGGTCACTCTATAAACCTGCATGGCAGGAAGAGAAAGTAAAGAATTCCAGATCTGTCACAACTGTGTGCCAGTGACAAAGGAGAACTAGACTGTCCACACATGCAAGAGAATATGGTATGTCACCAAACTACAGCCAGTTTAAGGATAAGAACAGCCATCTAAGGGAACCCCAGGAGGAAGAATTTAGCCAGAGTGAGATTGGAAATGTCTGCTGACAGCAGGGCTCCTCCCCAGGTCCCTCTGAGGATCTACCTTTTTAGACTTTCCCAACCATCATCGAGTCACAGTTACAATTCTCAGGTGGTAACTAAAAGAAACTTTGTGATTTCAGGGCAAAGACGGCACTGCAGCAGTACCTGGCATGATGGGAGCACCCCAGCACCTGCGAGCATCCCACATCCTTGTTTAAGGACGTACAAGAACTAGCCTCGTTTGATTCCTTCTATTTGCACAAGTCACCTTGGACTGCAGGGAGCTGTTTTGCAAAAGCAATTTAGTAGGCTTAGATCTCAAATTCATCTTGAGAACATTTTTTGAGGTAGTAATTTCCTCAAAGGACTATTGTGTTTTGTTTTGGTTTTTTTCTGAGCTACCTGGACTCTTTATTAGAACAATCAATTATTTTCCTTTGGACCTACAATTTTTTGCCTATGCTGCAGCCACTTTGTGAGTGAGAATGAGAGAGAGAGAGAGAGAGAGAGAGAGAGAGAGAGAGAGAGAGAGTGTGTGTGTGTGTGTGTGTGTTACATGTGAGTCAGAATGAATGGATGTGTGGGTGAGGGATACCTCAGATTTTTCTTTTCTTATTTTGTGTGAAAATCTCTTTTCTACAGATTTTCCAGGGTTTAAGCATTGCTTGCTGTATAAAAAAAAACTTTACTGAATTATATACAGTTTGAATGAAATGTTATTTTAAAAACAAAACAATTGTTTAGTGTTCCATAAAGGTTATGTTGAATTTTGGTCAGATGAATATTTGTAAGTAAAAAAATATATGCATTTCTGAACCTCAACTTACATAGATTTTCTTTATAAAAACAAACAAAAAAGAAAAAGAAAAGTTGGCTACAGTTGGCCTGAATAACAGGCATTATACATGGTGCTGTGCAAAATAGTAAGCTAGCATCTTACTGCCGTCAATATTAGCAGGTACCGAGCCTTTTTTCAGCTTAATTCAATAAGTTCTCAGGCTTCCAAGTCAGAAGGACAGGGTGGACTGGAGTGAAGTGAGAGAATAGATTCACCATAGATTTTGAAACATCAAAGGGAGCTATAACTACTGATAGTGAAAGCCCAGCTGTGAATCTGGAGGGCCACCATTTATAGAAACTGTGGACCAAGAGCCTCCCAGCTGCTAATCTTGTCACTGGTATGCAGTATTTGGCAGGATTTAAAACCAAGCATGGAACCTTATGTTCAAAGTAAAAGTAGGTCACCACTTCCCAGAAACAAGGTCTCATCACTTTGTGCTTCCTGAGACAACATATATCACTGTGAAACTAAAGCGTGTTCTACACACACATCTGTAGAAAGAAGCAAGAACAGGAAAGTTGAGAAAGCTGACTTTCTTTTAGCTATCTCTGCAAATTCCATGTAGCTCAGGATTGCTAGTTGGTATGCTCTTTATAAGTTAAGAGCTAAGATCTTTCCCCACATGAAGCTAAAAGCACTCAGGTTGAGAGAAGAGAAGGGCATCTCTCCAGGATGACTGAAGATGACTTCTTTTTACAGCAAATACTGCTTAGTCTTTCTGCAACCCTTAGCTTGGCACCTGCTCCAACTTCTGGTCGCTTCAAGGTGAACTCAACAGGTTACTCTTGACTGTTTGAAGGTAGAACCAGCCTGCCTTTTCCTTTTGCTAGAAGGAGGTCATTTGCGTGGCAGCCAGGACATAAGGTCTACAGTCCAGAAGCTTGTGGTGAGTGTGTGCCACTGCTGGGGCCCCAAGCCCACCCACCAGCCACTCCTGATGAGGTTGCTCACGTTGCATCCACCTTGTCACCAACTTGCACCTTCCTTGGAAGACTTAAATATGGTTGACCGCAAATGAATGTTTTTCAAATGTATTTAGTGCAACATTTCCTATTCTCAACATGACCATCCAAGTTCAAACACAGATTTATAACTCCTTTTTTTTTTCAGAACATCACTAATGTTAAAATCTGTCACAGCAGGAACTTGGGTTTTGCGAAGATATCAGAGTGCTAACGTGAGGAAGCTAGCTTAAAGAAAACCTAGCTTATTGGGAATTAAGCCTTATTTAGGGCCTACTCACTGTCATTTTTAGTACTGAAAAATATCCTTGGTTGGCATTTGTAACACAAAACACTATAGATAAATAGAAAGAAACCATTATTGCATTGCTGAGACAATCTTGAACCCAATAGCATTAAGAGAGCTGAAGGCCCAGTGGAATAACACTTCATCTTTAAACTGGATAAATGTTGCCTATGGATATGAACAATGGTCAGATAAAAAGTGCTTTATGATAATTACCTTTTCTGATTCGAATGAAGGGAAATGTATTTATTAAAACAAAGCCGTTTGCTGCTTTACGCAGGTGCAGTGTTCAGTCAGCAGGAGGTGGGAAGAATGGGACATGATGGTCTTGAGTCCCCACCCAAGTTCTTAACTAAGCTTCTCGCTCTCTAATACTGCATTCTGTTTCTCCTTCTGTGCCCTGATTGTAACCCAAAATTTATGAACTAGAAAAGAATGTTCAATTTAATAAGTTGCATTTTTTTTCCTTACGCACTTTATTCAGAACAATACATGTTCTTCTGGTAGTGTTTGGATATGATTTTAACACATGCTAATAAATGCCAAGAAAAATCATGGCAACTTCTAAAAAGGAGTCTGTTTTCCAAATGTCTGGAACATTAGGGATAGAAAATTATATGCACTGGCTTTTGGAACCTGTGATTCTTGGTGAATGAAGGGCTGGGAAGTGGCTTTGCATTTCAGAGGGCTCCTGAAGGCGTCCCCTGTTTCTGGTCTCCCGAAGGCCGCTACCAGCCATCAGGACCCCCTCACTCCCCACTCACCCCCCTGATCCCCACCACCAGTGTGAGTCCATTCCTTCATCCTCTCTTCTTCCCCTCAGGTATGTACACCTCCACCTCCAGTGCCATCACTTGCTGGCTCAGAACAGATTGACAAGCAGCTGTTGTCTCCGCAAGGGCGCACACATGCTCCTCACTTACTCACTGCACTGCCTTTTTTTACCTGTCTCTAAAACATAAGCAGCTCCTCCCAGCTTAAGGCTCATGGGAAATAGCCAATCACACCAGGCCCAGAGCATGAGGCCTGGGGGCGGGCAATGGGGTGGCTGACAGGGGAGGGAACTCTAGTAGAGGGAAGTTCTGGGGACGCAAGGTAAGAGAACTGGAGGAGAGGAAAGGACAGGGTACTCACACCCCAGGCCCTGGCAGAGGGCCAGCAGAAAGGAGTCCCAACACCTTGCCACCTGGGGTAGGTCTGCTGCCCCCACCTTGTTCCTTGCACTAAAGCAGAAATTTTCCATAAGAGGGAAGTTTTGTCCAGGGCTACAGGGAAAGCCCAGGGCCATGGAGTGGACTACAGAGACCTCTTTCCCCTCCATCTTTGCAACCCATGGCTTTTGGTCCCGGCATTGCCAGCCAGTCAGCCTCCCACTGAGCACAGGCCACAGCGAGTCCTTAGAGTAGAGCCACCCTTCTCGACTTCACAGGGCTGGACCTGTCCTCCTCTTGTCAGGTACCCATACCAAGGAGCTTAGAGGTCTAAAAGCCCAAACATGCCCACCCAAAAGCAGTGCCTGGCAGAAATCTGTTGCAGGAAGCCAGGCCTAGAGAGTACTATCCACCAAGAGTGGGCTGGCCTTAGAGCCGCTATCAGGAGCCCCTTCCTTATGTCCCATACTTTCTGGGACTCTTAGAAAAAAAGAGATGTCCTATGAGGCTGAACCCACAGTATCCCTGAACCATCAGTAATGTGAAGAAGGGGTTGTGTCACCATTCCTCCATCTCTGCCCGTGTCTTACCACCTAGTGCCTCTTCTACTTTCCCCTGCCGTTGACCCTCCTCTCTACTTCCTGGGACGCTTTGAAGACCCATCACTAACACAAACACATCTCACCCACAGGCTCAGTTTTCCCCTATTCTACCCCTCCCTATCTTTCAGAGGCCCTGGTCACTGTTTCATCTTGCCAGAGATATTATCCTGACTTCTGGGGTGATCAAGTAGCTATCAGCTGAGTGTACCCCATCCAAAAAGCTCATTCCAACCCCCACTTGACACCTGTAGTGTGGAAGCTCCAGACATTGTGCTCCCCCAGGTTGTCTCCAGCTCTGATACAAGTTCAGACCAAGTGAATACCCTCCTGAGCCCCCACAATGGGAGGTGCTCGACCCCACTAATAAGCTTTGTGCCTGGAGTTTAGAACAGTGACTCCTGTTTTCCTGACAGCTGCTGAGTGCACTGTTTCATGCAGGAGTCCAGTACGAATCTTGTTGAGCACTATGGCATGCCTGTCTCCATCCAGAGGCCACATAGGGTCATGGGAAAGGCAGTGGCCTTACACATGAGTGCCCATCCAGGATCTCAGGCCATGGTCCCATCTTCAGACAGTCTGGCTTATTGCATTTGTCCCCAGAGACAATACAGATCTCAGCACCATATGCTAAGCTTACAGAAGGTGTAATTCCCCCCACAAAGATTGGGCTTCTGGGAACCAACTGCCAATTTTAAAGAGTTTCTTGGCTGGGCACCGGTGGCTCACGCCTGTAATCCTAGCTACTTGGGAGACTGAGGTCAAAAGGATCTCAGTTCAAGGCCAGCCTAGACAAATAATTAACCAGACCCCATCTCTAAAATAACCACAGCAAAATGGACTGAAGGTGTGGGTCAAGCAGTAGAGCACCTGCTTTTGTAGACACGAAGTCAAGTTCAAACTCCAGGCCTACTTTTTTAAAAACTCACGCCATTGGTTGGGCTCCTGGAGAAAACCACCAGTGAGATTGCTGGCATATGGTGTCTTTCCCTCAGTGAGAACAAAGTATGCCTGGACTTGGTGGACTTAAAATAAGTTCAGAAAAAAATAGTAAGAAAGAGTGGCTATCACGCAGAGTTCACAGAGGTCCTCATAGTTACATTTCACTAAACTGGAGGGATGGCCCAGCATGAATTCAGTGAAAGTGGAAAGCTCCCTGGCCCCTCTACGAGCTCTCGGGCCTTAAATTCCATGTTAGCCAAGTCAAAAGCCAAAGAAATGGAGAGGAAAGTGCCAAGAAAGCTAGCTGAACCCTGGTTCCACATGTAGCTTTCACTCATTGCTTTATGGACATGCCCTGATGTGGGGAGAGCTACAGACAGGCAGACCTGGGCAGGCAGCTTTGAAGGCTGGTTCACACCTGTTGTCACATCAGTGTGCAGGCTGTGTCAGCAGACCACGTGAAGCAGTTCTCAAGTTTATAGCTACCAGTTTAGAATCTACATTTGTTTAACACAAGGTACTGTCCTATGTGACTCAGTATCCTCTGAAATGACACGTCTCAGCAGAGTACAGTGACTCGTGCCCATTTATTTTGTAAAATCCAGAGACCAGAGGGAAGGGGAGAAAAAAGGTGTGTTCTGTATACTGTTTTAGCAGGCAGGAAAGTACATACATATTTTCATTGACCACCAAAACAGCTAAACCGAGAAAGTGTTGGTGCTCGAAAAAGTAAGTCCTCTGCTGAGCTTCCTTGTGTGCACAGACAGGAGTGCACTGACATTTCATCCCATAGCCTTGCGGCCTTGTCCCTGGCACATGTCCAGAAGAGCAGCACGGAATGTTAGTCCATGTTCTCAGGGATGCGGAGTGCCTCTGTGGGACCTGCTGCTCCTTCAGCCTCAGCGCCTGTGAGATGACAAATGGTCAGCAGGACTTCTGAACACAGCCATGACCCAGGCCTCCTGCCCCACCCACATCCCCAAAGAAACAGACAAAGGAGGGGCAAACTACATCACTGACCATCAAGCTAGGAGTTAGGCTGGGAGACACAGCAAAGGTGGTCCTAATGTGTTTATTAGGAACAAGGAATTAAAGAATTAGAAGAATGAGTAGCATTTGTTCAGCACTTAAGAAATGTCAGTCAGTCACAGGCTGAGAGCTCTACCTCCTGTCTCCTTTAGTTTTCACAGCAGAGCTTTGAGGAAGATGACTACGATGCAGTTGTTAATTTGGGTTAGATTGGGCCTGTCATTTCCATTTCACAGATGAAGCGGAGGCTCGACAAAGGTAAGTAACTTTTCAGAAGCTATTTAGCTGATGAATAGTGGACCCAGGATTCAAACCTAGGATTGTCTGTCTCCAGAGCCCTGTCCCTTGATCTCAGTGCCCTTCCTTAGCAGGAAAAGTGATGGGTAAATGAACCCAAGGGACAGCGAGTCAGAACAAATGGCAGGGCAGCTGCTCCACAGCGGTGGCTGCAGGAGGCTAAGCATTTATTTGTGTGATGTGAGCTGGGCTTATTTACTTCTAGAATTATTCCCTTAGCTCATTACCACTCGGGGCTGTAGAGGCAGGCTTGAGATCTCCAAACCCTCTCCCTTGTACCCCCGGTGAGTTGTTCCCAACTATTTCACCCTCTTCCTGCCCGAATGATCCTGACTTAGACCTGTGTAACTCCAGTCTGCCTCCCACCCCCCTGACCCATGGATGAAAATGCCCCATGACTCTGTACACATAGGAAGTGCATTATGGGTTCTCTGAGACCAGGTCCCAGGAAAGCTGGCTCTGGCAGGGCTCCCCCTGCCAAGTGAAGGTTCTGGTGCACTCAGCTTATCCTTCAGCTGGCAGTGGTAAGAATCCAACACAGACCAGCACAGGTCAGCCCCTGCCCCATCTGGCCTTACCTTCTGTCCACCTGTTCTAACACGGATGGCAAATCAAACATTTAAGCATACCATGGTTAAAACACAAGCCTTTAGATGCACATAGGTTGTTAAGCATTTCAGATCTGCCTACAGTCTTTCCCCAAGGGTCCAAGCCTCACATCTTTTACCTTTCCCCAGGATATCCATCTCCCAGCCCCTTTGACCTCAGCTCAGGCTCAAAGCAGAGACGAGCAACTGGGCAGCTGCCGGCTGTGGAATGGGCTGCCATATGCACTGTAGACCCCTTGGGGTTCACCCGGATTTGGAGGTGGCAATGGCCTGGTACTCCTTTCCCAGATGCTGTGGGAACGCTCCCCATGAAGGGGAAGGTCCTGGGCTCTTATCACCCGCTCTAATATGGGCTGGGTGGTAGTGGTGGTGGTTGCAGTTCTGTGCAGCCCTGCTTAGCAAGCCTGCTGAGGGTTGGGGGCAGGGGGCGGGGACAGAGCACAGGGGCCTTGAAGGAGTGACACCTGGCTCTGAGTAGGCTTATTAAAATTTCACAGTGGTTTCCACATGAAAATGCCAAGCAGCTTTACAAAGAAAACAGGACTCCAAAACAAGCAGTGAAAATGAGGTGACAGGTGCTGGTGGCTCACGCCTATAATCCTAGCTACTCAGGAGGCAGAGATCAGGAAGATCGAGTTTTGAAGCCAGTCTGGGCAAATTGGTTCATGAGACCCTATCTCAAAAAAAACCCTTCACAAAAAAATAGAGGTGGTGGAGTGGTTCAAGGTGAAGGCCCTGAGTTCAAGCCCCAGTATGCCAAAAAAAAAAGAAGAAAATTGTAATGAGATATTAAAAAGCAATATTGTTACTCCATGAAAACTCAAAACAGTTTAACTTCGAACCAAGTTACATGGTAACCTTTATTTTCAGAACAGGATTTTATTAGATTGAATAACTAGTTACAAATAATTACCAGTCCCTTGCACACACTGAAGCACTCAGTCACAAATTCCTCTTCACCTCAATCGTAATAAAGACCAAATCTGCCCTGACCACTTACCCTCAGGGGCTTCTGGGCCTTTGTCTGAAAACTTGAAACTGGGGAAGAGCAGGCCCAGCTCTCTGTTGGCATCTTCTCTGTCCTGGCTTCCGTGGACAGCATTGAAGGGCATTTCAGTGCCATACTGAGCTCGGAGACTGGGAAAGGAGGCAATATGTAAAACAGTTGTTTCATTTAAAAAGAAATGTTTTACCTTCTGGCAACATGATTCAGCTACCAAACAGCACTCTGCATTTCTGTGAAATCGCCTTCTCCTTGTAGAGAAACCAAGAATGACAGCCACGGTAGCAGTAGCTGACATTTCCTGGCAGTGTCACAGGCCCTGGGGTAGGTGCTTAACATGGAGGACCTTATCCCATTCACCACAGCCCTAAGAGGGGGACTGCTGTTCCCATTTACACGTGTGTGGGTAACGGTGTAAGTATAAGAGCTGCCATTTTATTAATATCACTATCCAGACGAGCTCGATAGAGCTTGGCATTTTTAACACTTAGATTAACGCCGTACGGTAACACTGGTATTGCTAGGACTTCCTGTGTGTCACACACTGCTGAACCTTCTACCCTCTCAGGATGGTTTCTTATACCCCCATTTTACAGATGGGAAAGGACTGCTCCCAGAATGTAGGGACATAATATCTGAACCCTGGGCTTCTCTCATGAGCCCACCTGCCTCATATTTGAATGCTCCATGCCCCTTACAACTACAAGGTACAACTGCAGCTCTCTGGCCTCTTGCTAAGTTCTTTCCTGTTGTCTGGGCCTTCAAAGGCCAAGACACATGGATTTGGCACTGATGACACCAGGCTTACTGCTCATGGGCCCAAGGAGTAGGCCAAGCCAGCCTATTGCAGTGTGCTGAACAGGGTGCTCAGACCCCAGAGGGCCTCCGGACACCCGGGTGAGGAGTGGGAGTGGGAAGGGTCAAGGCTACACTGCAGGCTGTTGCCCAAAGTCTCTGACTTGGCGGGCTTGAATGGAGCTCTGGGATCTATTCTCTTGGAAGCACACGCGGCCTTCTGGCTGGAAAGAGAACAATGACTGAGGACTGAAACCACCAGCAGCCTGCAGAGGAGGGGAGAGGCAGTTCACCAAGCACTCAGCAAGGCCAGGCACTGGCTCAGAGTGGCAGGATGTCAGGGACTTCCCAAATAAACATAGCAACAAGGGAGCCTTCTAGCCAACAGAGAGCCTTCCGTCACCCAGGATTCTGGGCTGAGCACCAAGAGGGCTGTAGGTTTTGAGATGGATGAAGGTACCATAGCGAGTGACATCACCTTTCAGGCTGCTCCCTCCTAGCCACATCAGGGTCACAGGGCCCCATGAGGGCTCGCCAGGCAGTAACAACATCTTCAGTGCCCTCGGTCTTGGTGAGGATCAAGAGGTGGCTTGGTCCACTGCACATGTGATAAACCAGCATTTCAAATGCCTCCTAGGTACACAGAGTGAAAATGGTGACACATCTCCAGAGCAGGAGATGCTGGGGCCTGAAGAGGGTCAGCAAACCCAAGCTCTACCCTCAGGATGGCAGGGGTCAGTGAGCAGCCTTGCCACCTGCCAGCTTGCCTAAGGACACAGCCATTGCCTTGGCCACCTCTGCCTGCTGTGGAGGGTCCCAGGGAGGGGAGGCAGTGACGACCAGCCACCCCGGAGGACAAAGGAAGGTACTGTAAGTTGACTCAGTTGGGGTTGAGAACGAGATACTTACGACAAGTTGGGCAGAAGCAATTACAAGGCCACATAATACGGAAGTCATGTGGGTGGCATGGAGCTGAGAACTTTTTTTGCCTTGCAACCCTTCTTCCTCCTTTAAGTAACAATACTCTGGCTTTCCTTTGGGGAACAGCTCTCCTCCGTTTTATTTGGTCCTAGTTTCACTGACAACACACCTAACCTGGGAGGTGGAGCTGTGACCCTAGCTAGGTCACCCAGACACGCAAGTAGGGGAGCAAATAAGCAGAAGCAAATGGAACGCAGCTGAGTTTTGAGTGGCAGCTCGGTGACTTAAGTGCTGTGCCCAAGGCTTTGGCTTCTGAGGTCCCTGGAACTTTCTCCATTCTTCTTCTCTCCAAGCCCTTGATAAACTCTTTCTTTCAGTTTTTTCTTTAATTCTGAGTTATGGAGTATACTCCAGCAAATTCTTTATTTCATTGGGGGTAATTTTTTTCCTTGAAACCACTGAAGTCTACCTGATACAGGTTAAATATATATATATATATATATATATATATATATTTTTTTTTTTTTTTTCCCTGACCTCAGGGCCTCATGTTTGCTAGGCAGGCGTTCTGCCTCTTGAGCCACAGTCTCAGTCCTTTTGCACTTAGTTTGTTTTTTGACAGGTTCTCATACTACCTTTTCCCAGGCTGGCTTCAGACTGTGATTCTTCTACTTCTGCTTCCCAAATAACCTGGATTGCAGGCATGTACCATCTCACCTGGTCCTTATCATCATTATTCTGAATAAAACATGACCCACTCCTGTTCCTGTTCTTCATGGTATTCTGTGTTCTCCCAAACTGCTATTAATCTATAAGTGTAATGCTGGAGGAGGAAAACAAAGTGAGAGCACTGGACGAACGGAAGCAGATGAACTGACCTCTCTAGCTCTGTGTTGGTAGAAAAGTCGCATTTCGGCCTCTGTCATGGTTCTCTCTTCATTTTTTAGGATGTCAAACCCAGCTTCCTGGATCTGTAGAATATATAAGATTCCACAAGGGTAAAACAAGCCCAAATTTCCATTTGACTTAAATGAAGGATAAAGACAGGCAACACTGAAAGCAGCGGAGCCCCTCGTCCCCCTGGTGTCTATTCCCATCACATTTAACATTTTCATTTCCTTGAATGGAATGTGAGTTCCAGCTCCTTAGAACCCTTCTTTTTTCCAGCAGGATGGTGCTGCCCAAATGCCCTACCCTGTTTACCCACCAGAGAGGCCATGGGGCAGTTGTCCAGGTAAGTATTTTCTCTCTTACCTTCACAATAATCTCATCAGTCTTTCCGTGGACCACTGCATCTGGCTTAATGATTGCCAAGGTACAGGTCTTCTCTGAAGACACTGCAATAAGCAGGTAGGAGAGGGGGTGCTGTCAAACGCTGGCATTTGAAGCGATCAGGAAGCCATTTGCAGGAACCATGCAGCATCCACAAAAGGCTCCATTGCATCAAGTGCCAGGCACAGGCTTGAGCTCTCCAGTTCCCTCCCTGGCCTCTTAGCTGGGTCCCAGCAGACCTGGACTCTAGTGGAGGCACCAGTCTGGCTTGGACTACAACCACCTCATGGCTTCAAGGAACAGAGATTGACTCAGTCACCTTGAGGTGGAGGGATGCTGGGGGAGGGGATTACTAAAAGATCATTTGAGAACAGAAACCCAGAGACACCTGAGTGAGTTGGCCTGGGGACAAGATTCAGCAGAGGGCACTGAAGCAGAGGGAACAGGCCTAGCCACCTTTATCCCTTCCTGTCACCCTGTGGTTCTCAGGCTCTAACTGCCCTCCACTGTGTTCTCTCACTCTCCTTAGCCCCTTTGCCTCTGCTTCTTCTCTCTCTCTGGCCATGTGCCAGTAATGGTTACCCAACTGCTTTCCACTTTCCACACCTGCTACCAAATTACAGCTTCAATCCTCACTGTCTCAGTTCAGGTTCTCCTGACAGAAGGCCTGATTGACCAGTTAATTGTTTTGTTTGTTTGTCTGCTTTGGGGGATTTGTTTGTTTGTTTGTTTGGCCTTGGATCAAACCCAAGGCCTCTTGCAGACTAGGCAAGCGCTCTGCCACTAAGCTACACTCCCCAGCCCCAGCTCGTTGTTTTAGCCAGTCATAGTTCACTGGCTAGTCTACCAATGGACTGCCCTTGGGTCAGTGTCCTCTAGTCCAACCAGCTGTGGCAGTGAGGGAAGCCCCGCAGGATTAGGATCCATCTTATTCCCCCACTGTGGGAAGGTCTGTGTGCACAAGTCAATCTCCATTGAACCCATACATGCGTGAACTTGGCCTTGGTGGGTTACCTGCATTCTTTAGAGAACCATCATCCCCCCATCATCCTTTTCTGCTTCTCAGCTTTTACATCAGTTGTGTTGCAGTGAAACGAAACAATATTTGCATTTAAGGAGAGTTTTCTACTCTGAAAATCTGAAAGGCATGTGTACTTAAAAGATGCATGCTGTGGTTTAGATACATGACCCCATATGTTCAAGGCTTAGTCCCCAGCCTGTGGTGCTACTGGGAGGTGATGGAACCTTCAAGTGGTGGGGACAAGTTGTGGGGTCTTTAGGTCACTGAGCACAGGCCCCTGGAAGGGATTGTGGGGCCCCAGGCCCTTCCTTTTCCTCTCTTATGTTTCCTGGCCCTGAGATGAGCAGTTTTGCTCATCTCATATCATGAGCTCCTGCCATGATATGCTGCCTCACCACAGCTCAAAAGCAATAGAAAACTTGTCATGGACTGAAAGGTCCAGAACTGGGAACCAAAATAAACCTTTTTGCTTTTAGAAGTTGATTACCTCAGATATTTGTCAGAGTGACAGAAAACTGATTGACACAGTATAAATCACTTAGCAACAAATCTGTTCATTTTCCTGTGGTCACTGTTTCTAACATGCTCTGAACACTTAAACTTTAAAGGACTCTTACAGTAAATTCCATTATAAGTCAGTTGGTTCATGAGTTTACCTAGATGGTAGAGTGAGAAAAGAAGAAGCCTAAGCAGGGACCGGAAGAGCTCGATCTTGAATGGGGAACCCAGGAAAAGGATGAGACACTGAGGAGAGGCCAGAGACATGACAGAGAATAAGAAAGGTCATGATATCTCAGAAACCAAGAGAGAGAGGAAGGAGTGGGGATGTAGCTCACTGGTATAGCACTTGCCTGGCTTGTAAGAGGTCCTGGGTTCAAGCCCCAGCACCACCAAAAAAAGAGAAGAGATAAGAAACGAGAAGAGGGGGAGGAGGAAAAAGGAGGAGGAGTACAGAGGGGAAAGGAAGGAGGAGGAGAAGGAGAGAAAGAAGAGGAGGAAAGACCCTACAGACTTTGTGCCACCCAGGAGCAGTGGTTACAGAGCCAGACTGCAGGTCAGGCATGAGTGGAGGCAGGGGTGGCCCCAAGAGCATAAACAAAGGTCAAGAAACCTGGCTATGGAGGAGAGAAGGCTAAGGGAAGGGCAGGGTTTTGTGTGCTTTTCTAGTTTGGAGAGAACTGCTTTGGGAGGAAACACTGGAGGAGGTAAGAAAGGAGAAATTCAGAACCAAAGCAAGAAGTGTTTCCTGCAAGAGCCAAACCACTGATTTTCTTTTCCCTCTTGAAGTTTCCCTGATTTCCTAAACCATGCCTCCTTCTTTGTTAGAACTCAGTTCAGATGGTCCTTATTATCCATACATGAAAAAAAAACCAAAACAGCCTTTCTATTTCATACAATAAGGGTTTTCAAACTTCCTCCTCTTATCAGCTCACTTCCTGAATTTAATCCTCATTCCCCTGGTGACTCAGTTGCCACCAAGAGTCACCTGCCCCGCGACAGTCTAACTCCTGACTTGTGTCTTCACACTGCAGGCTGTGCTGCTCTTCTCACTGGAACTGAGGGAGCGCAGCACGGCCTCACGCATGAACTCTGTAAGCTGACACCCATCTTTTCTCCTGCAGGTCTGTGGGAAGGAAGGTTTGCTGATGTTTCAGAAAGAGAAGCACAAAAGACTAAGAAAACACCAGCATCACTGCTTCATGTCACTAGTGTTACCGCCCTCGGTTCTACGAAATGTCACACTTGTTACATTGGAACATCCTGAGCAGCTGTGAAGTATACCAAGATGCTGGAGGACAGAAGGGAGAGTCAGTACAGTATGTTGAAGCCAGGTGATTGACACAAGACATTTAATGGTTGTGGTGAACACATACAAGATTGCTGTTGTGTTGATTGATTGTATTGTGGTAAAGTATGGAGAATTGTCGTAATAAGAATCATTAGCTAGTGTGTGTTAGGACTAAGAAACCAAGCCAGAGAATGACAGGCTGATATGCAAAGGAGCCAACCCTAAGGTGGTGAGGCCAATAACACCAACTATGAGGTCACCACCAAGCATAAAAACCCGAGCTTCGCTACCACTCATCGCCATCGCTCGCCTCCCCAGCGCTGGAGACCGTGCTGTCAGAGCCCGTCCTGAAGCTCTGACGCAGAGGCAGCCGCCACTTGAGAGACCCACCCTTCTCCCGACGACCGCAACACCAGACCTGCAACTGAGGTCGGCTGTAAGCATTCCCCCGAGCTCAGCTGGACTCCCCTCATCGGCTGAGAAGATGTCGCACGGTGAGCGAGGCTTGGGGAAGGCCTGAGTAAATTCCTGGCTGGCTGGGGTAGCAGAGGACAGGGCGTTAGGATCCGTGTGAGAGTGCTGTGTGGATTTGTTTGAACAAAATCCTGCTCTCTGAAGTAAGAGTCTCCTGAGTACTGCTTACCTGTACTCGACTGGTAACGAACCATAAGTGCTTGCGACAATGGCCCATCTTCCCAGGGTTCAGATCACTCAATAATCTGATTATTCATGTATTCAAAACACACATCAAGACCAGGTGTGGTGGCTCATGCCCGTAATCCCAGCTATGCAGGAGGCATAGGGAGGAGGATTACAGTTCAAGCCCTGCCTGAGCAAAAGTAGTGAGACCTCTGAAAAATAACCTAAAGCAAAAGAGCTGACGGGCATGGCTCGTGTGACAGAGCCCTTGCCTAGAAAGTACAGGCCCCCCACCCTGAGTGCCAACCCCAGTAATGCCAAAGGGAGGGAAACACACACACGTGCACACACACACCCAGTCTGAGTCCGCCTTGCTCACTGATTTGCACTTACCAATGTCCTCATCTTCACCATCGCCCTTTTCATGAGAAAAACATTCATCTTCACCAGAAATGGCCTCACCCTTAATCTAGTGCACATTGGTCATGAACAGAAAGGCAATTAGCCAATTTAATTTACCACTTCAAATTCCCACCAAAACAACAAAAAGTAAAGGTTCAAAATAGAGTCACATGGGAGTAGGGCACGGTGCTCAGTCTTTGAGGCTTGGCAAGAGTCTTTTTAGTAGTTGGGTGACAGTGGGGATGCGAGAGTTAGAGGACAAGGAAATCCATGCTGATCTTCAATTTCAGTTTCTTCCTCTTCCCACGAGGTAAATAGAGACTGAGGAAAAGTATAGACAGTTGGCAAGAAGACAAAGAAAGAATCAGAATGCAAATAAATCTAAGCTATAAGCTGCATAAGAGAAAGAAAGGAATAGATCGTTTTCCTGGAAGAGGCATGTGAGAATTGCTAGTATTTTTTGGGAAAAAATATGACTTGATCCTAATCCATTCTATTAAAAGAGAACTCTGCCATTTGGAATTGAATAGGAAACCTTGAGCACTGAGCACTGAGCAATGCTGAGGTGTGTTTGGCAGGTGTGCAAGGTATGTGGAGAGGCCTTTCTCTTTCAAGGGCAGTCAATTATTTGTGAAGAACTTGCAGTCTGTGTTATTACAGAAGTAATTTATCAGTCTACCTTATTTTGGAGAAAAGATTTATCAAAATCATAAGCTATGCTGATCCTCTACCTTATGGTAATGAAGAGCTGGATTTCTAAGTTAAAGAAAGGAACCCTGTGGAATCACAAGTAAAACCTCCAGGAGCGTGAGTGTGTGGCTCACCAGGAGAGATCCCCTGAGCTGAGGGGAGACACCTCTACCCACTGCTATCGTTTGGATAAGTGTCTGGAAAAGGTTCGTTTGTGGAAGCCTTGGTCTTCAAAATGGCACTTGAAGGTAGTGGAACCTTTAAGAGATGAGACCTAGAGGAAGGCCTTAGATGATTGTCATGCGCCCTTGAAGGGGGGATTGTGAGACAGGGTCTCTTCTTCTTTCTCTCTCTTTGCGTCATGGGCTTCATAAGGTGAGCAGCTTCCTCACCACCGGCTCAAAAGCAACAGGCCCAACTGACCACAGACTGAAATCTCCAAACCTGTGAGTCAAAATAAGCCTTTCTGATTTTTAAATTGCCTATCTCAGGTATTTTGTTATAGTAACAGAAAAACACATCACTGTTCAATTCTGTAAATTTCCTTTCTGAATTCTTTGTTGAGAGCTAAGGTGTGGGGCTGGTGGAGTGGTTCAGATGGTAAGAGTGCCTGCTTAGCAAGTATGAGGCCCTGAGTTCAAACCCTAGTGCCACCAAAAAAAAAAAAAGAGCTAAGTGGGGGGAAAAGGATAAATTAAGTTAAACAGTTCTGGGTGACAGGGACAACTTTTAAAAAGCTTCAAAATGCAGACATGAATAGTATGCATGGGTGCAGTGCATTCTCCCGAGGTCCTCTGTGAGGAGCAGATCCAATATGGGACATTTAGGAAGCTTTCCACTGACAGTGCCAGGAAAACAGGACAGGGAAGAGGCTCCCCATCCAGCACACTTGTGAGTCTGCTGCTTGTAGAAGTGACCTCTACTTACCACTCTCCGTTCTCTGCCACCAGCCAGCACCTCCTTTTCAGCTTCCAGCTGATCCAGGATGGTCTTCTGCAGAAGTGGAGCATTTGCTCCTCTCACCACCGCCACCAGTTCTCCACCCTGCAGTGCGTTATGGACCACATGAAATACTTTCAGAGTGTTTAAGACTGTGCCCAAGGCCAAGGTCATTGACCCCAAGCCCACAGCCTCTGCCATCCACTTCTAGTGTGGGGCTCATGTCTACTGCGGCTTCCCAGGGCCCTTCCCACATGCAGGCCTTCTGGTCTGCTCTTGGTTCTGCAGTGGTTTCTCCCTCTCTGATCTCTGTCTTCTACCCCGTGCCCCTTCTTTCACAGCTTCCTTCAGAGCAACTAACATTTAGGGGAGAGCAACACACAAAAAGATGAGAGTGACTCAGTGTGGCCTATACACGGTTTACTAACTGAAATATTTTTCGAGCACTTTTATACCAAACACCCAGGCAGAGGCAAAGAATATAAACACTAAACCCAAAACGTCACTGTCCTCAAAGAGTGAACAGTGCAGAGGTCACACCAAATACACAATTATGGTAGAATTAGATAATTACTTTAACAAGGAGAACTTATAAGGTGTGTGAAACTTAGGGCACCGGCTGTGGTCGTCAGGGAGAGAGTGTTTAGGCTAGACCTGAATTTCCTGCAGAAACTTTTTCAGAAGTCTCTGTGTGCATTACTCCCAGAGGAGTGTATCTGGAGAGGGACGTTCACGTGAGGTGGGTCCCCCTTCTGTGACTACCCGTCTCTCTGAGGACTGCCATAGGGCTGGGTGTTTCCACACAGCTGACTGCGATTTGTGCTGTAATCACCCTGGGCTTGTGCCATCAAGCCATTGTGGTAATGGCCCCATTTCTGCAACCAAGCTCTGGTGTCACCTGTGGCTGAGGGTGCACGCATCTCTCCTGTCCTTCCACGCATCCCTCCCTGCCCCCAGGCATGTTTCATCTCACAACTGCAGTCTCCCTACTAAAAGCCAATGCTCAGATCCTGTTTTATCATGAGTTCGTAACACTTGCAGAGCTGAGGCCCTGGCCTGCCTGTGAGGAGACCCAGGTGAGCAGATCCCAGTGTCTCTGACTGTTCAATGAGGGGGCTGACTGGGTTGGGAGAGGCATACCAATTAGTCACATCCAGGGTCTGGCAGGTGGCCTCAACCTGGGAAGCCAGGTGTGAGACAGCAGACCCTACAGGGCATGGAGCTGGCCAAGGGCATCACACCCAAAGACATCGAAGTGAACCCTTCGGAAGTCAGAGCCACTTGGCTGTCCTCAATAGATTCTTTCATTTCTGACTTTCTGCAAACACATCTTCACATTCTGTGATCACAAGGGCAAAGGCAGAGCTTGTCTGTCCCATAAAGAACGACTCATTTTTGCTAAAAGTTCCCCTTCATTGAGCAGAAACGCTGTGCTCCCAGAGGGTCGCCACAGCCTAGCGCGTCTGAGAGCTGAGAGCGAGCTTGTGCATTGGAATGACCTGTGTACTTGCCTGTATGCGGCTAACGGTGGCCACCAGGGACCTGTGTCATTCCCCGCCCCCTACCAGACATCAGGGCTGACATGGAACCATGCCTGCCAGGGGCATGCATCACCATGTTTTCAGGAGGGTCTTAATGTAGCCAACATAATAAAAACAGTCTAAGGACCTGTCACTTGTTTGGATCACCAAGGCTTCTTGGTGGCTCCCCGCGAGAATTAATACCAGTGAGGTGCATCTGAACATTAATGATTTTTCAACTATCAAATAGCCCAATTCTGCAAATGTACTTACTGCATAAAACAGGAAGGTGGGCTCACACTTCCCTCGGTGTTTTTCAAGGTCATCCAGACAGTCTGCCTCGGCCTAAACAAAACGAGCCGTTAGCAGGCACTCTTGGTGCAGTTGGCACATGGAACTCCACCCTCCATAATCTGCCTCCCCAGGTGTAGTCCAGCTCACTGCCTGCCTGCTGCTCCTAATCAGAACTGTCCTGTCAACCTGTTGGTAGCAACCGAGGACAGTCCACTACCCTGAGAATCAAGTGAGGAGACAAGAGTATGCTTGCTTCGATGCAGCTGTACACAGGAACCTGGCAGCCATGACTGGCAACAGCAAGGTGAGAGGTCTCAGGTGTTGCCCTCAGGGCCTGATACACCCACTGCCCGTAGACCAAGCAGATTCTCTAGGCAAGCTGTTCTGCCACATGCTCTCTACAGAAGAACGAAAACTGACTCCCAAGGGAGGAAGTCCTGGAAGTCCAACCCCTTGAGACTTAGCATAAGTCACATTTTTTTTTTCCGTCCATTGTTTGTGAACCCCAAACCCGTGCAGTACGTTCCAGTGTCTCTGGAACTTATTCCATTTCCATGCATTAATCCAAGTACATTCTTGCTGAAAGTTCCCCTTTACAGGTTGGAGACATGGCTCAAGTGGTAGAGCACCTGCCTAGCAAGCATGAGGCCCTGAGTTCAAACCCCAGTACTATTAGAAAAGAAAAAAACAAACAACAACAACAACAAACCCAGTTTGTCTTTATGAAGCAGAGGGTGGAAATTCTGACACTTTATGTTCCGAAAGTGACATTTTGGCCAACAGTGTTCATGAGCCAAGAAGGAGCAAACACATTCAAGTGACATCCAACCCTTCCCTTCATACAGCATCAAGAAACTGCCAGAGCCAAAGGGGCTATGGGAGGTGGAGGGGTTGGGAGCTTTACACACAGAGGAACCATGGTCACCATGACAATATCAACAAAAGTCCCCAACTGATGCCTTTTGGTGATCTGAAAAAGTAGCTCATGCCTCCTGATCCATACTGTTTGTAAATTTTTAATTTTTTTACGTCTTGTTATGATTTTTTGCTGAGAGAGAACCTTACTAATGCAAAATGCAGACGGTCCAGGCCAACCTCAATCCTCATCCTCTGGAAGAGGCTCACCACGGGTTTGCAGGGGCCGCACCAGCCTTGATAGACGTCCACAACTGTGAGAGGCAAGAAACAGGCGCACTCAGCAGAGTACAGAGTCCATTCCCACACCCTCTAACACCACACTGGACATGTCTGCAGGGTACTCAGTGGTGAGAGGGACTTAAGCTCTCGGCTTATGAGCAAGCATGGACACACAGCTGTCCCTCATTTGTGTGAACTCAGACTTTTGCCTTCTAAGTATAATGAAGTAAGTATGGCAGAAAATCATTTTGTTAAGGGGGTTTGTTCACTTTGAGGATTTTTCAGGTTACATCCTGTGTCAGGCCTGGCACAAAGTGGCCTCAATGAATATTTGAGTTGGAGTGAAAGGAGAGGTCACTGTAGGTGACCAGTCAGCATCCAATTACTATCCTGATAGTAACCACAGCTTTGTCCTTTCCCCTGATAAATTAAAAGCCACTGGTTTTGTGCAAAGCACCATTTCGTTTACTTTGTAAAAATACTTTTCCCTGGAAAGTGGACCTGGTAGAGAACTAGATGGAAACTTGGGCTCCTTTGCCTTTTTCGATCCCAATCTCTAGGGATGTCAGGGCTGGGTGTGTGCCCCGCCCCCCGAATAACCCCTCCTCTGGTTGTAGTAAACCATGAGCCTGTCAGAGAGCTGAGAGGTCAAGCCAACTCCTGTGCACACACAGACAAGACCCACCCAGCATGATCGTGCTTGATTATGACCAACTGATGGCCACATTTTAGAGAAGGAACATTTGCCTGAAGACCTCAACACTCAGAGTTTGTGCCTAGTCCACACAGGTGGGCATTTCTGCTCAACAGCAGTAGTGCAGTCACAGAAAGATAGTGTAAAGTTACTTTTAATTTATTAGGCATGCTGGGTTTATGCAGCTCAGACTGGCTTGGAACTCAGTGTGTAGCCCAAATGGCCTCAAACTCTCAGTCCTCTTGTCTCAGCTTCCTGGATGGGATTACAGGTATGAACCACCATTCCAAGCTTGGCCTGCTGGTTTTAATAGCATGCAACTTATGATTTTACTTTTTGCAGAGTCACCTCTCCTGTGGATTAACCTAGCCTGTACACTAGACCAGCCTGGGGCTGTGCTGTGGGGAGTTTGGCAGGTCCCTGCTGGAGTTTGGACTATGGGCTGGAGGAGCTCCATCCGGGCTTACTCAGCAGTAAAGAAGGACTCACAGTGTTAGAAGAGAAGGAGTCAATGTTTCTGGAGATGCAAGAGGGTGTCTGCACCTTGCTCTTCTCTCCAAAAGCCCAGGGAGATGGATACCATTATTCCACAGTAGAGATAAGTAGACTGAAACTCATGGAAGTGAGTTTCAAAAAAAAAAAAAAAAAAAAAACTGGTCTGACTGAGAGGCTCAAGTGGTAGAATGCCTGCCTTGTGAAGCTCTGAGCTCAAACCCCAATACCACACACACACACACACACACACACACACACAAAACAAAACAACAAAAACAAAAACAAAAAAAACCAACTCTAGTTATGCTCCTGTAACAGACTACCCCAGACTGGGAAGTTTGTAAGCGGTGAGTATTTATTTCTCACACTTTGGGAGGGTGGGAAATCTGAGATCAAGGCTCTGGCAGGTTCGGTTGCCTAGTGAAGACTGCACGTTGGGTAGGAAGGAACTGTGTGTTCTCATATATCAGAAGACCAAGAGCAAGAGTGACAGTCCCTCCATCAAGCCCTCTTATAAAAGCCCCCAATCCCATTCTTGAAGGGAAGAACCCTCCTGACCTAATTACCTCCTCAAGACCCTGCCTCTTAATGCCACCACGTGGGCCATGAAGTTTCAATTCCTGCATTTTGGAGGAGACACCCTCAAACCATAGCACAGCAGAACCAAGCTTTGAGCGCAGCCCATGCTCTCAGCTGCTCCTGGAAAGGAGCAAGATACACCGGTTCAAGCAGGTTGCTTGGGTCAGCCGGGGAGCACAATTTTACAGAAAGTGAGACCCAAGCTGGATATGCGAGGTACAAGGAAGCCAGACACAGAGTGGTGGTGGACTTGAAGAAAAAGAAAGGAGGAACCCAACACCTTGGAAAGGAAATACTGGCGATGAAATCAAGTGGGTATGGAGAGAACTCCACTTCTGATCCTGGCAGGAAAAAAGAACTAGGTGAGGCTGGGGAGAGATGGTTGGAGGGAGGGAGGAAACCAAACTCCTAAATGGCTCCTAAACCCAGCCTGTCTAAATGCTAAGATAGGCTGGGTTTCCAGTACCAACCAGAAAATCTAAGACAAGAGACCACAAAGGCACCAAACACCCAGAGGGGGAGCAGGGACAGGAGAGAGGGGTTCAGGCTTCCGGGGCATCCAGGTCAAGTACAAGACTCTGGGATTCTTTGAGAACAGATATTTGGATTTCAACACACTGCTGGCATGTGGGTGGGTGGAGACCAAAAAAGCACTTGGGTCAGCGTCAGGGAAAAGTCTCTGAAGGCTTAGAGGGCTCTGTATGCAGAGTCACTGAGGAAGGCAGGTTTAAGCCCCAAAGGGGGAAAAAAAATGGAGCCCAATTAGGTTAAATCTCTCTGCAGCAATTATACTGATTTTCTACCAGCTTCTCATCCTGTCTCCTCCTTGTCTCTGGGAGGAGCAGTTGTGACCAAGGCATACTTTGCAAGGTTATGGAAAGAGTGGGCATTGGGGCACTTGAGAGAAAAGGGAGGAAGACACTGAAAGAAAGGAGGCAAAACAGAAGACACCTGGAAGGAATGGCAAAGACAATGTAAATGTGTATGCACACACATGTGTGCACATGTGTAAACCTGAGTAGGCTTTTGCATGTTTGAAGGCACATGAAAATGAGCCAACAGGAGACAAGGCTTCCAAGATGGTGGTTGTATTGGAAGCAAATACACTGTGTGTGTGTGTGTGTTTTCCAGTAGAGGTTAGCCATTATCACATAAGTGCTCAGCAGGATGGCTGCCCACAGCAAATTCTCAAAAAAATTATGGGGTGTTGGTTTTATCATTCCCATTGCTGTTCAAGAAGAAGAGCTCATAGTTTGTTTCCTCCTGGAGCTGTGTTCTAATTGCCCAGACACAGATGGGCACAATAGTTAAGCCTTGGCACCATCGAAAAAGCTTTATAAAAATAAATTCTCCCAAAACTAATGAACCAATAAAGAAATGGGCACGTGAACTAAACAGAACTTTCTCAAAAGAAGAAATTCAAATGGCCAGAAAACACATGAAAAAATGCTCACCATCTCTAGCAATAAAGGAAATGCAAATTAAAACCACACTAAGATTCCACCTCACCCCTGTTAGAATAGCCATCATCAGCAACACCACCAACAACAGGTGTTGGCGAGGATGCGGGGAAAAAGGAACCCTCTTACACTGTTGGTGGGAATGTAGACTAGTACAACCACTCTGGAAAAAAATTTGGAGGCTACTTAAAAAGCTGGACATCGATCTACCATTTGATCCAGCAATACCACTCTTGGGGATATACCCAAAAGACTGTTAGTCCAGAGGCACCTGCACATCCATGTTTATTGCGGCACTATTCACAATAGCCAAGTTATGGAAACAGCCAAGATGCCCCAGCACTGACGAATGGATTAAGAAAATGTGGTATCTATACACAATGGAATTTTATGCAGCCATGAAGAAGAACGAAATGTTATCATTCGCTGGTAAATGGATGGAATTGGAGAACATCATTCTGAGTGAGGTTAGCCTGGCCAAAAGACCAAAAATCGTATGTTCTCCCTCATATGTGGACATTAGATCAAGGGCAAACACAACAAGGGGATTGGACTATGAGCACATGATAAAAGCGAGAGCACACAAGGGAGGGGTGAGGATAGGTAAGACACCTAAAAAACTAGCTAGCATTTGTTGCCCTTAATGCAGAGAAACTAAAGCAGATACCTTAAAGCAACTGAGGCCAATAGGAAAAGGGGACCAGGAACTAGAGAAAAGGTTAGATTAAAAAGAATTAACCTAGAAGGTAACACCCACGCACAGGAAATCAATGTGAGTCAATGCCCTGTATAGCTATCCTTATCTCAACCAGCAAAACCCCTTGTTCCTTCCTATTATTGCTTATACTCTCTCTACAACAAAATTAGAGATAAGGGCAAAATAGTTTCTGCTGGGTATTGAGGGGGAGGGAGGGGTGGAGTGGGTGGTAAGGGAGGGGTGGGGGCAGGGGGGAGAAATAAACCAAGCCTTGTATGCACATATGAATAATAAAAGAAAAATGAAAAAAAAAAAAAAAAGAAAAAGCTTTATAATCCCTCAAATAGGAGAATATGCAATACTCACACCCACAGTAAGATCAATGTGACCAGCATTTATTTAGCACCTACTTGGCCCCAGGCCTGGGCAAGACTGCTACAAGTGCAAGATAAAAAACCAGTATGAGCTGGGTGTAGTAGTACATGTCTATAATCCCAGCACTCAAGGAGGCTGAGACAGGAGGATCATGAGTTTGAGGCCAGTACAGATAACATAGTAAGACCCTGTCTACAAAAAAGAAAAGCCAACACAGTTGTGTTAGAGTCTAGGGGATAGTACCAAACAGTGGCTACACCAAGTGGGTGTGTGCTGGGGGGCTTGAGAGAATCATAGGGGTTCCCAAGAGGAGGTAACCACACAGAGGCTCAGGGAAGATTTCACACAGGGAGGCCACTTTTGTGCTGGGCCCAGGAATGAGAAAGTTTCTACAGGTGGTGATACGCCATGACCCCATCCAGGGAGTAGAAACAACACAGAGAAAGTGAAGAAGAAAGGAAATGTGTGGCACATTCAGGGAAAATGTGAGCCCTTGGAACACAGTTGGAGAAGGATCTGAGACAGGTGGAGTCATGAGAGGAGGAGTTCCTGAATCCTGGAGAGTCGTTTGGTAGGGTGTGGAGACCCAGAGGGTAAGAACAGATACAAACAGACATATGTATAGAGAGGAATTTGGCAGATGTGCCCAAAGATATCTAGAGAAAGAGGAAGGAATACTGGATGAAAGGGAGGAATCGCCTCTAAAATGGCTCCAAAGATTCCAGACTCATGGTCCTCCCAGCATTACGTAAGCCCCAATCCTTGAGTGGGCTGGACCTCGTGATGGGCTTCTAATGAACAGAATAGGGGAAAGGCATGTATCACGTTCCAGATTAGGTTAACAGAAGGCCGACTTCCATCTCTCTCTCTCTCTCCCTCAGGTACCTGGCTCTGGGAGGAAGCAAGTTACCATGCTGGGAGTAGCCTATGGAGAAACTGATGGCAAGAAAAGTCTCTTGCCATCAATAAGGACTCGAATCTTGCCAACAGACGTTGAGTAAACTTGGGAGGGATCTTCTAAGGTCAGCCGACAGCCACATAAGTGAGCATGGAACAAATGTATCCCAAATTGAGCCTTGAAATCCCTCTGATACCTTAACTGCATCCTGGTGAGAGTTCCTGACCATGAGGAGTATGGGATAATAAATTGGTGTTGTTTGAAACCACTATTGGGAGGCAAACTTATGCAGTGATAGATAATTGACGCATGGAGAACAGGAATGCAGAGGTTTAGACAGTGGCTGTGCTGTTTCCTTATGACTGACTGTGCAGTCCCTGGTCCCTGTCCCTTATGATACCTGGCTACCCATCCATCCTGCGAGTCCCAAGAAATTCCCATTTCCCTTCCCACACATCCTCCTTTTGTGCCTCAGGTCATTAGAAGAAATTTCTGTGACTAAATACCAAACAAGCTTGAGTTTGGCAATCAGCTCTAAAACAAGAGAGCCCTGTTACCTGACAGTCCTCACTGATTCACTGAACTAAATTTACCTGTTTAAGCCAGATAGAAATATAATAGTCCTCCCTTATGCTCAAAGGATATGTCCCAAGACCCCAGATGGATACCTGAAACTATGGATAGTACCAAACTTTATATAAACATTTGAGTAACTGAGACGGTCAATCTGATAACTGAGCTGGCTACTAAAAGACTAACGGGCAGGTAGCACATAGAGTGTGGATACGCTGGACAAAATGATGAGTTATGTCCCAAGTGCGATGGCATGAGATTCCATCACTAGTCAGAACAGTGTGTAATTTAAGACATGAATTGTTTATTTCTGGAATTTTCCATTTAGTATTTTTGGACTGTAGTTGAACATAGATAAATAAAACCATGGAAAATGAAACCACAGTTAAGGGGGGACTACTATTTGCACAGACACAAAGAAATCACCTGGTAGCTTGTGAGGATAAAGGTTTTTAAAAAATGGTGCTCATTGCAGCATTTTTCATAACTAAACATGTCATTTAAGAATTTTGAAAAGAATGGATATCAAAACTATTTTATTTTAAATTACCAGTTAGTCCTTTGGAACTGAGCATTTCTTCCCAAAGCTCCTGGGTACTGATGTCAACCTAAACCCAAAGAGAATCAAAAGCTGTATCACTGAGGGCACAGAAAAGGAAGCCATTTAACGTGTTTTCTCTAGAGTCCTCTCTCTCTCTCTGCAGTATTTACATTTCAGTTCAATTTGTCCTCTCTCTTCAATCTTTTCTCCTTTCCTTTCTTCCTGCTTCCTCCCAAGGAAAAACCATTAACCTAAGAATGATACATCCGATTCTCAGGCATTTTAAAAATTGCTACATGTTATTTGTTGAGAAAAAAACATATAAAATTGTTTCATGTCATGAAAATGTACACAAACAGGATCACACTTTAGCTTTCCTTTCCCAATTTATTTTTACTCAATTAGAAATAATTGAGTTGAATTTACATTCATTATATCACTCACATTTTTCTCTTATCTACAAAGAGTTCTGGTTTGCCTTAGATATGAAATACAAGGAGAAATGCAAATTATCCCTCTCCATTAATAGTATACATTTTTGTATAATGTACACAAAATATGTTTTTTTAAATAATTTCAAACTTATAGAAACTTTAAACTGTAACTACAAGTACAGAATATGAACATTTGGGGGTATTTTTTAGTTGTTATTTACATTATCAACTTGTTATCCCTTGGTCCTTAAATCATTATCCTATATAATAACCACAGTACAGTCATCAAAATCAGGGGAAACCCCACTGATAGGCTATTCCTACTTAATCCTAAGACACTATTTAAGTTTTACCATTCATCCCAATAACATCCAAAAGAACTAATCACAATCATATATTTGATGTATCTGCCAAATCTCTTTAGTCTAATTTCTCCAGTCTTTACTTTCATTCAACCTTGACATTTTTGAAAACTACATGCCAGTGATTTTGAGGTCTGTCCCTCAGTTGGGGATGTCTGGTGTTTCCTGTTGGTTAGGTTCCGATGGTGCATCTTTGGATTGATTGGAGTGCTAAAGAAACTAGAGAGAATCCTTGTTACATCCGCCCAGGTGATACACAGCTTCTGTCTGCCATCACTGATGATGTTCATCTTGATCACTGGATCAAGGTGGTCGGTTAGGCTCCTCCCATGCAAAATTATTCTCTTTCCCTCTGTAATAAGTTTTCACTAAGAGTTTCTTTGAAGCTACATAAATTAGAAGACCATGAAAATCCCAACTTGTCCTTGATACAAGTATGCCAAGGTCTGTGTCCCTGTAATAAGATAGGATGCCTTATCTGCAGTAAGGGCAGGAAACTGTAACAGCTACATATCCTCTGTGGGAGGTTCCCTTTTTAAGGAAGCACACCCCTCACTTTTTTGTTTGTATAAAAAAGAAAAGAAACAACAGAAAAGCCCTCTTGAAGCTTTGAATGAGATAAAGAGGGTTGGACTGATATCATCCTGGGTCAGAGCTACCATCCTGAAGCAAGTGACAGGAAGGTCCAGAAGAGCCCCACCCCAACCCAGAGGCTCAGCTGTAAGTCATGAGCAACTCTCTGTTGTCCCCTGTCCCCCTTCCATCATGGTGTGAGCCACAGCAACTCTAGGACCAGGACTTTGAGGCAGCTGAAGAGTGCTTCCTAAAAGCAGGACAGGAGCCTGACAATAGGAAAAGCACTTGAACTTCCTGAAGCCCTACATTTGGTAGGGAATGAATGGCCAATGTGTGGCACTTTTTGACTAGATTCTCTCTCTCTCTCTCTCTCTCTCTCTCTCTCTCTCTCTCCCCCCCCTCCCTCCTCTGTCGCTCCCTCTTATAGTACTGGGGTTTGAACTCAGGGTTTCACACTTGCTAGGCAAGCGCTCTACCACTTGAGCCATACCTTCAGTCCTTTTTGTTCTGGTTATTTTGGAGATAGGGTCTCGTTTTTTGCTCAGGCTGGCTTGGACCACAATTCTATTTTAAGCTTCTGCTGCTACTGGGATGACAGGGTTGCACCTCCTCCAACTTTTTTCCATTAAGACGAAGGTCTAACAACGACCCCCACCCCCAAGGCTGGTCTAGAACCGCAATCCTCCTGATCTCAGCCTCCCAAGTAGCTAGGATTATAGGTGTGAGCCACCAGTGCCTGGCTAGATTAGCTCTTGATGTCCTATGATTTCTGGCTCAGTCACAGAAGGAACCCTGAATAACTTTGCCCAGAGGGAGAAGACAGGGCTCCTGGCTTGGCAGCCATACTGCTTTTCAAGGGGTTTACTTTGTAGTGAGTTAACACACAGATGCCTCAGTGTAAGCCAGCACTTACTCCCCTGTCTTCCCTCGACAAATGGGAGCACTTAACTTTTGTAATGGACCATGCTCAGAGCTCATAAAACCTAATATTGCTGACGTATCTCCCCCAAAAGGGATATAGGGCGTAAACACATGCAGTGATATCATATGGGCCGATAACACGAGACAGCACAGAAAGCATTCAGAGCAGCGTGGAAGTGTCCAGAGCAGTCAACAGCTTAGTATGTTATGTATTTTGTCCCTCCTGTTCACACACGGGATGTGTGGTCCACACAGCTCCAAGTGGGAGGGCCAGGTGCTCAGAATCTACCAGGAGATGCCTAACTCTGGCGTCCTAGCATGCCAAGGCTAGAAGACCCTTAGGGGTATTTCACCCAACATCACCATTCCCCAGTTGGGTGAGCTATGGCCCAGACTGTGAATGTATTTAAAGTCACAGAGTTGGCCAAGAGATGGCTCCAAAACTATGTGCAGTGTCTGTAACCTGAGCCTGTGCCCTATGGTGTCATTCTACTTTACATCATAGCTGACCAGGAGACCTTTTACAGTTTGTTTTAAATGTCCCCATATAATAGACCATCCAGATAATCTTCTTATGACAAGACATGCTCTCCAAATTCCAGGGCCCAGGCCTGCATGCTTTTTGGTTTTGGGATTTTTTTAACCATGACTTTGGAATCACCCACTTCGTACTGTCCAGGACTAGGAAGAAGAAGGCAGGTATGGTGGTGCATGCCTGCAATCTCAGCACTCAGGAGGCTGAGGCAAGAGATTCAACCTAGCCTGAGCTTCATAGCAAGTTCCAGGCCAGTCTAGGCTAACTAGCAAGACCCTGTCTCAAAACAAAACAAAAACAAAGGCATAAGAAGAGCAGATGCTGGCTTGTAGATTTACTTGCCCTAGCTGTAAATGAAATAAGGCATTCTGTATACAAATGTTCATACTGTATCTTCAAACATATTAACAAGAGAATGTTTGAAGAGTGGTAGGAAAACTGGATCTCCACAGAGCAGTTAACAAACACACACCTAAACTCAAAACAACTGGTATTACATTCTCTGCAGTTAGGCTTCCACAAAAAATTCAGCATGGAATTTTGCTGGTTTATCTTTCCTTGGTTTTGCAGTTTTATTTGTTTTAGTGAATGCCTGAGTCTTATGGTTGTATAAGCACTATAAGAAAAAGAAAAACACTTCTGCCCAGTGTTTTTTGGTGGTACTTGGATTTGAACTCAGGGCTTCACATTTGCTGGGAAGGCACTCTACCACTTGAGCCATTCCACCAGCCATTTTTTGTGTTGGGTATTTTCAAGATGGGGTCTTGCAAACCATTTGCCCAGGCTGACCTTGGTCCTCCTGATCTATGCCTCCTGAGTAGCTAGGATTACAGGTGTGAGAGAGCCACTGATGATGCCCAGCTGCCCAATTTTGTTTGTATATATTTAAGTATAAAAAGTTTACCATCACTAATGCTCCAAGATTTTTGTTTAAGACAGAAGAACACAAAACTCAAGTTTGAGAACACTTAAATACTAGCAAGGAGAATGTCACTTTTATATTGCACCCCAACCTCCTCCACTTCGCCCTACTGGCCCCCCAAACCCAACAAAGTGCTGGAAGCTGGTGCCCTTTGAGGCTTACCTGCAAGGCAATTTCCTTCTTCTTGCTGCCCATGGCTCTGCAAAGAAGACAAGCCCCGTGGAGGTTGCGCGATTCAGGGCAGCAGCCTCCCCGCAACCTCTGTGCGAACCAACAACCCAGATCATCCTCAGACTGAGCCCCAATCCCCCCCTTTTTTTAAGGTGCCTCTAAGTGGCAGCAAATCAATGCACTGATACGAAACGAATCCCCCAGGGCAGCGCTCTCGAAGCCCCTTCCCCACCCGGTCACCTGCGGGAGGTGGGGGGTGGGGGGGTGGGGGGCGGGGGGCGGGGGGCATACACGCGCTAGGGTTATGCGGGAGTGCCCGCTGAGAAATTCTGGCAATAAAAAGGTCAGAGGACACTTTTGTCACCTCTGTTCCCAAATACCGGGAAACTGAGCCACATCGAACGATCTCCCGACAGTTTCCTGGTCCTGACGCGCTCTTTGTCTCTGCAACAGACTACGGCGACCAGCTATGGTCGCCCTGGCAACCCCGCACCCGGCCAAGCTGGAGCGCCTCCCTGCTGACACGCAAGCCACGCCCAGTGCGAGCCTCGCCCACTCAGCGGAGACTCTGAGCCTGGGGGCGGGACCGATGGTAGGAACGCTCTCATTGGCTGGAGCGTATGTCAGTGTCAGGGCGGTAAGATAAAGATGCGATCCTGCTGTGCGTTGTACAATTCCCAAATCCCTGCATTTTTCCTCCCGAGTCTGCTAGAGCCGGTGTGCAGCTTTACTCCCGTCACACACTTACAGGACGCGTGCCAGGCAGGAGACACGCTAGCAGGAGTCTAAAAGGGTTCTCTTTCAGACAAAAAATGCAAAATCATGAATTCAAAATTAAGTCAAGTGGAACAAATACAAAACAGTTTCAGACATAGACATTATATCAATAAGTAATCACTTTAAATGTAAACAGTCTAAAGCACACCATTAAAAGGCAGAGATTGTCAGAAAGCATTTAAAAAACAAGGCCCAATTGTGTGTTGACTATAGGAAACCCTCTTTTAAGGTAAAGGAATGGAAAAAGGTATGCCATGCTAACACTAGTCAGAAGAAAGGGAAATATCTAAAGGTAAGTTCAGGTAAAGCAGACTTCAGAATAAGAAAATTTATCAGAAAAGAATAGTGGTATTACAAAAAGTTAAAGAAACCAGTTCTCTCTAAGTAGGTATATCAATATTTAACATCTATGCACTTAAGAACAGAACATCAAAATATGTAAGGCAAAAACTGACAGAACTGTAAGGAAAAACAGAAAAACCTAGGACAGGGAACATGGCTCAAGTGGTAGAGTGTTTGCCTAGCAAGCTCAAAAGACCATGAGTTCAATCCCCAGTACTGCAAAAATAAATAAATCAACCGCTATCATAATTGAAGATTTCAACCCCACATTTTAAACAATTGTTAGATCCAGCAGGCAGAAAAAGAGCAAGTACTGCAAAAATAAATAAATAAATCGCTATTATAATTGAAGATTTCAACACCACATTTTAAACAATTGTTAGATCCAGCAGGCAGAAAAAGAGCAAGGACATAGTTGAACTGAATAACATCAAATTGATCTAACTGACATTTGTACACTACTTCATAGAACAACAGCAAAATACAGATACTTTTCAAGTTCTCATGGAGTATACATCAAGACAGACCACATTCTAGGCTACAGAATGGGAAAAACACAAAGTATGTTCTCAGACCACAATGGAGTTAAACTGGAAATTGACAACAGCTGATGAAAAGAAATCTAGACGATTTAAATAAGTGGAGAGTTAACCCACATTCATGGATAGGAAAAATCAATTGTGTTAAGAGATCAGTTCTTCCCAACATGACCTTAGACTAAACACAATTCCAATCAAAATTCCAGCAAGAAAGCTATTTTGGGATTTCAACACACTATTTTGAAGTTCATATGAAAAGGTAAGGGCCCCAGAACAGCCAATGCAATACTGAAGAAGAAAGAAAAAAGTTAGAAAACTGACAATTACCCAACTTCAAGACTTTCTACAAAGCCATGATAATCAAGACAGCATGATATCAGTGTGATAGTGACAACTATTATGTGTATCAGTGAAGCAGGTTAGAGAGCTCAGATATAGACCTATATAAGTGTACTTAATTGATTTTGACAAAAGGGCAAAGAAAAGCCAATTGAGAAAGGATTACACCTTTCACAAGAATGAACTCAAAATGGATCATAGACCTACATGTAAAATATAGAACTTCTAAAAGAAAACACAGAAAATCAAGGTGATCTTGGATTTGATAATGATTTTTTTAAATACAACACCTAAAGCATGATCAGTGAAAGTAAATATTGATCATTTGGACAAAAAACAAAGGAAACAGAAGCTGATGTGAGGACCTCAAAGAGAAAGTAGTCAGAAGGGGTAATCAGGCTGAATGCCAAAATGACATGGACTTACTGGTTTGGAGGGCAGTCGTGATTTTGCTGAGGGTAGGTAGTCCAGTGTCACAATGTGGGAAAGAGACCAGAAAACCCCTCTCTGACAGTTAACTGGCAATGAAGAACTGGCAACTGGACAGAGTGTGGTACAGAAGCACACATCAAACGATCTCTGTCCTGGAACACTGCTGCTTGGCCATGCACTCCTCTGTGGAGCACAGGGTGACAGGAATACTGGAGATTGGGCAACCTTCCAGCTCTGACTCTTCCACTCTGAATCCACCTATTTTTTTTTTCTTGCACTCAGTCCCATAACAATTTAAGACACAGCATTCTAGCCTAAGTTGACTAGATTGCAAGGCAAGATGGTAGATACTCAAGCGATTGTTTGGAATCGCTCTTTGAGCTTAGTTCCCCAAATAAAATTCAAATCAGATGCCACACTCCCCCTGTCAGCACCCTGAAAGACAGAGACAGTCAATTCTTTCCGACAGGTTAAATGTCTTTCCACATGGTCTCTGCTACAAACATGTTCACATCTTTACCATCTTTCTAAGAACCTCAGAAACAAACAGGGGAGCTACATGTCCCCAGTTTATAAGAGACACGCCTTCATTACACCTATTGCCCCATGCAATTTCTCATAGAAATCCCTTTCATTTTCAAAAATGTAGCTTTCAGACAATATGGAACCTCATCAATTTCCCCAAAGTGGATCACCCTGGGCCACCCTGCTTTTTGCATCTTGACTTAATGAAACTTCATCTTTTCTGTTTGATGAGATGGTTCAGGGACTTGATTGCTTTGTTAAAAGCCAGCTGTCTTTCTCAAAGACATCTGCTTTTACTTAGCTCTACCCTAAGGGGTGTGTTTTTGTTTGTTTATTTGTTTTGCTTTGTTTTTCATGCAAAAGTTTCTAATGTTGAGGATTACTGAAATGTTTTAGTCTGATTTTTTTCCTCCGGCAAGTCCCGCTCTTTGCCACAAGGTGGTGGGTTACTCAAAGGAATTTCCTTCTGAGCGGCAGGAACATTTTCTTTAAGCACTTCAGAACTGACGGGACTGTGTGAAGCCAGTATGCATTCACCCACCGTAAGAGTAAATCGGAAACCAGCGCAGAGTTCCCCAGAGAACTTCCAGTTTTTCATCTGAGATGAAGATATTGTCTAAACACATCTTTGTCTAACCTGACCCATCGCTTCTTCCAGACAGATTTTCTTTCTCCTTAAGTAACAGCATGTCCTTCCTGTGACTTCACTGAGGAAGACAGTAGAAGGCTTTAGAGTCAGGCTCCAGCTGCATCCTGGATCTACCCCCTACTACCTGTCCATCTAAGCGTGGGGAAGTCACACCAACCGCCTCAGCCTCAGTTTTCTCATCTTTAAAACGGGAAATCTAAGTCCCACCGTTCAGGAGTGTTGTGGAGACCACGGCTTTCATTTTCTTGGCATTGAAGCCCTGTTACTGTTGTTGAGGTATCACATCCTTTTCACATAGGACTCAGGAAGGGTGGCACTCCCCAGTCCAGGACCGCAGAACCCCTCCCGCATCCTTGAATCTGGATGGAGACATTCAGTTAGGTTTCCTCAGTCAGGGTGGAAGTGACAAGTGTTACTTCTGGGTGCAAGTGGTTAAGTGTCAGGTGTGGAACCCTCCATACTCTGTCTCCATCTGCCAGCTTGATGTCATCAGAATGACTTTAATGACCAGAGGTTTATTATTTATTTATTTTTTCTTTTGGCAGCGCTTAGGTTTGAATTCAAGGCCTTATGCTTGCTAGGCAGGTGCTCTTATCCCTTGAGCCACTCCGCCAGCCCCATTTCCATGTTTCTGCCTGGGATTTTTTTTTTTTTTTTTTTTTGGCTATACTGGGGTTTGAACTCAGGCCTTAGTGCTTGGAAGGCAGGTGCTTTACAGCTTGAGGGCTCTACAGCCCTTTTTGCTCTGGTTATTCTGGAGATAGGGTCTTCCTTTTTTGCTCAGGCCAGCCTGGGCCTCGATCCTCCTATTTTATGCTTCCTGTTATCACTGTGATACTAGGCGTGTGCCACCACACCCAGCTTTCTTCCACTGAGATGAGAGCTCACAAATTTTTTTGCCCAAGCTATCCTGGAATCATGATCCTTCTGATTGCAGCCTCCCAAGTAACTTGGGAGGACAGGCACACACCACTGCACCCAACTATTGGTTGAGATGGGGGGTCTCATGAACTCCACGCCCAGGCTGGTCTCAAACTGAAATCTTCTTGATCTCAGCCTCCCAGCTAGCTAGGATTAGAGGTGTGAGCTCCTGGGATGTTGCTTTTGGGTTGTTTGTTGGTTGGTTGGTGGTACTTCTGTTTGAAATGAGGGCTGCATGCTTGCTAGGCAGGTGCTCTACCCCTTTGATCTTTTTTTGGTTTAGTAGTTATTATTATTACTGGTTTTGTTTGTTTGTTTAGATTATTGGTTTTTTTTTTTAGTCTTGCATTTTCACCTGGTCTGGACAGGTTATTTTGCTAAGATGGGGATCTCCCTTAGCCTGGGCAGGCCTTGAACAGCAAATCCTCCCCAACTCTGCCTTCTGAGTAGCTGGGATTATAGACTTGAGTCACTGTGCTTGTCCTTTTACTGTCTGTTAATAATGAATTGCTTCAGGTTT